AGTAAAGAAGAGAATAATTAGTTGAAAAGAAAACGTGCAAAGATAATACATGCGTCATTTAAGAGCTATATTAAGTAACAAAGTAAATCATATCAGCATTTGTTCGGTTCACTTCCTATACCAATCTAAATAAATCATTTTTCATTCTCAAATGTTTAGTACTGACAACTATGGAAACTGCAAACAGCAACATAGCGAATGACTAAAGAATAAATGAGTTCATATTAATACATTTGTGTTTGTAAAATTTATGATAACCTTATTGAGACGCCTTGATACCCCAAAAATTGTAATGAAAATTGCATATTTATTATTTGTTTGTGTTTTTCTTTTAAAAGAAAAGCGAAACATTTCTAACGCCCCAACGCCAATAGCAGTATTCATTTATCAGCAAATAGCGTTTCTAACATATTAGGCATTTAGGTCTTGCATTTGATTTAACAATATGTTATTGGTACGAAACATTTCTAAAGCCCCCCTCCCCCTGACATCGGTTTAAGGTATCATATCTCCTTTCTGAAGAGTATTAATTTTCAGTAAGGAAACAAAGTTTACCTCTCATCATGTTTTAAATTTACTACCCTTTTTTCTTATTCGTGTCTGGTCTGATTGATCCTTGTATATAATCAGGGTCTTCATTGTTTTTACAATACCCTAATTGGATTTAACGATATGTTAGTTATATTCTTATTTATAGTGGTATTTGGTATAAACTAATGCAATATAATTTTTCTTCTAAATTTATAACTATGTTAAAGTCTATGTATAACTCTGTGAAAATTTGTGTAAGGGTGCGAGGTAATGTTACTGATTATTTTGATAGTTATATGGGCGTTAAGCAAGGCGAAACATTGTCTCCCTTGCTTTTTATACTGTTTATAAATGACATGGAAAGGTATATTGCTGATAATAGTGCTGATACAATAACTTTAGAAGAATTGCAAATATTTATGCTCATGTTCGCAGATGATACTGTGTTGTTTTCATATTCGTCTAATGGCTTGCAAATATTATTGAATAAATTAAAGTCATATTGTTTAAAGTGGAATGTCACTGTAAATACTACAAAAACAGTTGCTATGATTTTTAAATTAGGAAGTAGGTTTGAGCAAGTTGATTTATATTATGATGATATAAGTTAAATGTTGTTAGTAAATTTTGTTATTTAGGTGTAGTTTTGACAGGAAATGGTAAATTTTATAATGCTCAGAAAGCTTTATCAGAACAAGCACTTCGTGCCATATTTACATTGAACTCCTTATTTGATGTTGTACCACTTGGTGTTAACGAGAAGATTAAACTATTTGATTCAATGATTTTTACCAATATTAAATTATGGATGCGAAATATGGGATTTCATAAGGCCCTTGATATTGAGAGGTATATATTAAATTTTGTAAACAATTATTATGTGTAAGGTCTCAAACTACAAATATAGCTGTTCTTGGTGAACTGGGTAAAGTTCCATTAGATGTTGTTCGTAAAGGGAGAATATTGAAATATTGGTATAGAATTTTGAACTCCCAAGATACATTGATATATACATGTTTCATCAATCAAGTTAATACTAATACATTGGATCTTGGGCTTCGGGTGTGAAAAATCTGCTTGACGAACTAGGTTTTAGTTATTTATGGAATGATATGTCTGTCACTAGAGTTCAAATAGATAAAGTTGTTGAGAGATTATATGATCAATATTATCAAGTTTTTTATAGTAAGTTAGATAATATGCCTAAACTAAGTACATATAAGAAAATTAAAACAAAAATATGTCAGGAAAAGTATTTATCTTGTGTTGTTAATAATAATCATCGTATTGCTTTATCAAGATTACGCTGTTCAGCGCATAAATTAGCTATTGAGGAAGGTAGATTTCGAAATATAGAACGTTGTAATAGAAAATGTGTGTATTGTAATATGAAGGTAGTAGAAGATGAATATCACTTTGTATTGGTCTGTCCGTTTTATAGAGATGAAAGAAAAGAATGCCTTCCAAAATATTATTGTAATTGGCCATCTTTACAAAAATTTAAAGGATTGTTAGCTTCAAATCAAACAAGTATTCTGTGTAAACTTGCAAAATTTATTTATATAGCAAATAAGAAACGTACCGGATGATATACTTTATTTAGAAATATGTGTTAGTTACATATGTCAATGATCATGTATTTGTATTTTACAATGTAGCCACGTGAAACTAATTGATCTCATACATTGGCCTTTTTATAACAAGAAAAAAAAAATGACAACATTATATGGCACTGAATTCACGTGCAAAATCAAACTAACATGTACGTATATCATGCATATGACAGTAAAGTATCCACCCATCGACAATCAACACGATAATTTAGGTCAGTGTATCAAATCAATTTTCATGTTATTTTTGGTCTTGTGTTTTTTTTTTTTTTTTTTTTCGTTACTGTTTATGTTTTATATAAACATTGTGTGGGATATATGTCGATATAATGATACTACAATATACACATGATATTGATATATTAATGTTAATATATGTTGATATAAATAATACTACTAATATACACATGATATAGATGTATTAATACTCATGCTCTTCTCATGTTGTATGTAACCGCCGCAATTGAATGTATGGCGATGAACATGTTTATGTTTATATGCTAATAAAATAATTGAATTGAATTGAATTCTTATTTATAAATATAATTAATCAAATGACATCAACAAATAAAGGTATATCTAAACACCTTTTTCCTCTTTTTTTCAAACATTGAGTATGTACACACAGATTCAGTTTAGCTCAATGGAATTATCAAAATAAAATACATAACTTTTAATTCTAAATGAACAGCTGGCGTTTCATAAATAAATACATACTACATGTATATAATTAGACAAACCAATCTTCTTGATTACAATCTTTTTGTATAGTTCTTGTGAACTTTGGTATCTGTCAAATATCCTGTTTTAATTATTTCTTATGTCAAACTTTCAAATACTTGCTAGCCACGACAATTTTATAACAATCAAAGAGATATTTGGTAATTGAGAAAAAAGTATTTTGTGGTTTTCAACTAAATGATAATATTATTAATGAACTATAGAAACTAGTCTATAGAACTATGTTTTGTATACAAACAATTAAGATAGTATAGAAAATCCATTGTTAGACTATCTTAATTTTACAGACACAGGGAAATAAAAAAACTGAAGCCTGCACTTTACTTAGTAACAGACCAAGGGTTATTGGTAGATAAAAACAACGAAGCAACAGAAAGATAGCAGGAAGCGGAAGAACATCATCGTTAAAAATGGAAAGGGAAGAAACAAAGCTTGAAATGAGCAGAAACGAAACGACAAGAAATGTTAGAGGTATAGGAGCAAAAATAAAAAAGATAAACGTGTAAAGGCGAGGCAAACGACAAAACGATAAACATAAAAAGCCTTAATAGAAAGACAAATTGTCATTTAAAAATGTCAGTTTTATATAAAAAAGGTTTATTTTTAGCATTTACTTTGTACTTTTATAGTACTACAAAAATATATAAACTTGAAAAGTTTTACGATATTTCACAAGATTGCAATCGGATGTTTTACTTAAAACACTAAAAACATTGTTCGTATTCGAGTTTTAAGATCAATAATTTCGAAAATTGACTACAGATGCTCAAAGGGAAAAGATCAAAGATTGAAGAGGTTTTTTTCTTAAACTAAAATGAAGAAATGTTTTATCCTTCTCAATAGTTGATAGAATTAAGAGCGAATTTATTATATGCCTTCATTATGTATAAAAACAGATAAATCATTTAGTTGAAGCTATTATTACGTCAATGTTTTTAATAGGACAAGGTGTAAAGTATGTATTTATCTAATTCAAGTCTTTATAAAAACGTACATTAAGCGATTTTAAATGGAAATTAAAACTTTTCACTTTAAGGCTAAACCCGGTTTAAATAAAAGTTAAATTGTAAAGACATTTTGGATGAATACGTTTAACTTGCTTTTTAAAAATTAAAGAACTTATGAAATACTTGAAGTTTTTAATTTTGTAAAAAATAGGATTACGTTTGTTTCGTTTTGTCAATATTTGATAAAGGGATTAGAATGCTTGTTAGTAGGCAAATGTATTTATATTTGTGCATTTCTGTTTAACTAAAAGTGAGCCCTAAGATTGCAATAGTCTTTTAAATTAGCTTTATGCTATATTTCTAATTAATACATATAAAGAAGATTGCTTTACATTTCTATGTGTGTGCCCTAAACGAGAAAACAATGAACGAGACTAATAATGGAGTTTTGAAGGGGGATCGGAGGTTATGAAGCCTGCAGAATCACAGATAAGTTGTCAAAAGACAAATTTAAAAGCAGGCAACATATCCATTTGTAATTTTAAATGACTTTTAAACAAAGTAAAATGTCCTTATTCCAACTACAGTAGAACGAATACTAACGATGAATTGATATGTCATTGACACTTTTTGCTTTATTCTTCTGTTTTGTACATTTATTGTCTTATATAATTATAATGTTGTATATTAAGGAATAAATCTCGAAGTGAAATCTTGAGAAAATGCATGTGGTATTTTAAATTCCCTTTGCATGTTTGCCGATAAAATGGAACCAATGGCAGTTTATCTTTTACCGAACGGCTATATCGTGACCATTTTTATAAGAAATGTTCTTTATGTTATAGGTTAAATTCGTTTTCATCTATAAAGCATGTAAATAAGGTATCTAAACATCTAAACTACGGGGTTGTGGGAAATATAACTCAAGACTCTTACATGTCTTGTCTGTCGTTGTCATCACAGAATCAGATGCCTTTTTAAACATGTTTTAGTTTTAAGTCATATCATTTTCTTTATACATAATAAAAATTTCAATCAAATATAATAAGTACATTAAGAATGACCGGGTAATCTAAAATATTAAATATTCTAGTTTGAAGGACTGCTTTCAGTATTTTTAAGGACAAGAACACTAAATAAATGAAATAAAATAAAAAAACACAAAAAAATATTCATTGTCGTTTCTTTAATTTCTTAAATTTTTATCATAAAATATAAAATAAATAATGTAATATGTATACCATAAAAACCATTTAATGGTAGAAAATGCATCAAGAAACGATCTGTCATTTCATGAACGTATGATTTACAGTGAATTAATTACTATATACATGTACAAATCAACTTTTTACCTCCAGTTTTTTATGAAATAACGAAAGGCAATTATCTATAATCTATAACTATGAAGCATCATCAAACGATTAACCCCTAACATCTAGAGAATGTACAGTACAAAAGCATGAAATATATTTTGAAAAAAAAAGTTATCCAAACTTACAATTAAACCTATTGAAAAAATAAAATGTTTACTCTTTTATTCCTTATATTTACTAAAGCTTTCACTGTGGTAATCCATAGCAACAAGGTAATTTTTGATGTCGTAAAAATCGCTCCTTCTGTCAATTATGAAGTTATAAATTGGTTTTCAAACGAAGAAAGTGACAACGAACTGATACTCTTTGAACAGTGGAACGTTAGTTTTCACATTTATATATTTGCCGATATTTTTTAATTAGTATAAATAGAGATATTTTAGTACAAATCACGTACGCAAGTTAAAATCTATTCATCTGAACACGTACAGAATGCCCCGGTCGATTTATTTTAAATCTAGACTTAAGAGTTAATAATGAATGGAATTTAATTTAATGACATCTAAAAAAATATTCTAAATGAAATTGAGAGAAAGTCAATAATGGTGGACATTTGAATACATCCTACTATTTCTAAATATTAAAATTGCACTTCAATTGCTAAAGAATGACCCAATTGAAAAAAATGAACTGAAATGATTATGCTCAAAAATAATTTACATAAAAAGATTTAACTGTCATTATATTATTATGAATAAAAATGACAGGTTGTTTCACAAAATGATTACATCTTTTAATAGCTCATGTCGAAAAAATCAGTTTGCATCGCGCGAAATATAAACGTAACAAACAAAGTGTACATGCACAAACAAAACATAACATTTGTGAATGGAAGCACGGAATTTATATATACATGAAATCCGCTGTCACTCTTCTATAAATGTCATATTGATGTATTTTCTAAACAAAGTGTCTTTTAAATGTCAACGTTCTGTTAGCACCATATCTCACATTTACAAATTTATATAAATGCAAGCTATTACCCTCCTTCTCTCCGACCATCCGTGGTCCCAGTATCTTTGGTTTTAAAGCAACCTATACAAAGTTTTGTATATAGCGGTATTGCACTTCTATCTGGTAGAGCCATTTGAGAGTAAAAAACTTTTATAGTCATTTGATGTTTTAAATTGTTTTTTGGCAGGTCGCAAGTAGCGACAGTCCTCGAGGTCTTCCCAGTCTTCGTCCCGTGTTGGTGGCGGTATACACGGTGGTCCGGAATAATCCCGTAACATTAAAGGACGAGGTGTCAGTGTGTAAACCGGTGGTAACATTATTGGCGGCAGTTTCAACGGTCTTTCTCGTTTCACGCCATCCTTTGGTCGGTCTTGTTTCTCTGTTTCTTCGGGTTTCAAACTTGGAAGTCCTTGTTCAGATTCGTCCTTTTCGTCGTCTTTCTTTTCATTATCATCATTAAGTCGGTCAAATGATATCAATGTCCCGACATCGCCGTTTTGAAACAAAATATTTGCCTGAAGAGTTCTTTCACTTGAAGATTTCTGTAGTTTGTGCAAAGCTTTATTGTCTATTGTGCCGTCCACGGATAATATCCTTTTCAAAAGTTTCATTCTGAATTCGTTTGGAGGAATAAACACTGGCGACTGAGTGGGTTTTCTCGGTGAAAAGTTGTCGTCTGCGTGAGATCCTCGTGCCTTATCACTTCCTATCGGCGGGACTCGAGATAGTGTTTGGGTAGCCATCTTAGCTGTCCGATTTTTGCGTACTTGACAGAGTACTGATTGTTTATTTATCGATGATGACCCAAACTATAGGCTAGTTATCTATAGATGGTTTGTGGTACGTGTCCCTGATAAAACGTTTCAAGCAGTTTATGAACAATCCAGAAGTAGATATTACGCCACTGTGACTGATAACAGAGTACTGTACCTCTTTATACCTGGAGATAATAGATGAGTTCTGTCCTAGTCAGGTTACGCTGCAATTTAAATTGAAATTCTTCCTCTCAATGTGTCCACAATAGTTTTAAAATTAATTCATCCACTTCATCTAACACAACTTTCCAATTAGAGTCGATCTTTATGAAAATTGTTTATGCTAACACATTTCCCAATAAAACAGCAACAGTTTCATATAACTCAAGCATTCAATCACTAAATTATTTTCACTTCTTTAAATATAGTCAATAATGTTATTCAAATCAACATCAATAATGTTGTATGACAATTATTTTGAATTATATTAAAAAATGTTCTTCTCTGTTAAGCGGCTAAGTGTCGTCTGCTATATCGCGCTATTTGCGTCAGTATTTATACTACTCCGCGTTATATAGGCGGTTAACGTTTCAAGTGCCAGCGATATCACTTAATGTCAATACAATCAACTCCATTGATACATACAATAAATAAGTTTTAAAAATAACCATTTTTGCATTTTATTGTGTATCGATTTACTGTTTTCAAGTTTATAGAATTTCAAATTTTCATCAATAATTAGAAACAGTCGCGTGACTGAATTATTTTACTTTATTTAAAAAAGATACATGAACGTTAATATTGCGTATTAATTTCATAATTTTACAATAACAATTTGTTTTTAAGTTTTTAGGGCAAAAAAAAATCAAATCTTTTATTGTCAAATGTACAATTTGTACAGTATGTGGACAGATTTAAATCCAAAGGTAACGAACACATTACTGGGCAAATGAATGAAACAAAATACTATTTTGATTTATAATATATTTCAGAATTAAACTTTTTTTCATTATGTATTTTACAATAAAAAGATCTGAAGATGCATTTAGATGAGTGGTGACCTTGCTTGTACAATTATCTGTCTTTCAAAAAGTGTGTAAGATTCCTGTTTATACGAGTCCTATTTGCACAAGTTTATTTGATCAAAGACTATTTGTACGAGCCCTATTTGTACAAGTCCTATTTGCGCGAGTTTATTTGTTCGATTCCTTTTTGTACGAGTTCCATTTGTACGAGTCCTATTTGTTTGAGTTCTTATGTGAGGGTTCTATTTGTACGAGTCATATTTGTGCGACTCTATTTGCGCGAGTTTATTTGTACGACTTTATTTGTTCGATCCCTTTTTGTACGAGTCCCATTTGTACGTGTCCTTTTTGTTCGAGTCCTATTTGTTCAAGTCCTATTTGTACGAGTCCTATTTGTGAGAGTTCTATTTGAATGAGTTATATTTGAAAGAGTCTTATTGAGTTCACGGCGATGTGGTACAAGTACCGTTAATTCAAGAAAGGGAACAGATAAGATAAATAAATATGTTTTACAATCGTAGCCTTGTAAAGACAAGAATGCATAAACTGTTATCGGGAAGTTCAAACAGATGACCCATGAACTTTGTCAGTTCACGACTGACCGTTATTTTAACGTATTTATAACCTACGTCATGTTACACCAACGCAGCATCTTCTAATTACTTAATGACAGACATTCCCTATGCAAGACCCGGAATTTCTCTATCTAATATCCTTCCAAGTTATCGAAAAAATCATGCCTGAACTTAAATATTACCACGATACGAGTTTGAGATGGTTTTTTTTATACTTCTTTACTTTTAATAACAGCGAATTACATGACGTCAACGGCATGTTTGTCCAGATTTGAAGTAATACCAGTTGCTTGGCATATATGTCGAGGAGTTTGATCAGTTAAAAACCCACTTTATTCTTTCTTTTTTATATTATTACTGAGTTATGAGGTTTAATCTGATTATATGTATGTTCGGTTATGGAATATTTTACAGTGTTTGTAACTTGAAGTATGCAGTTTATCAAGATGACTCACTGCTGATAGTTGAATACAATAAAGAAAGTGACCAACATATTGGTCGTAATAAGCTGCATCTTGGTCATACCAAATTATTTGTTTTTTTAGAAAGTTAAAAAACAGTGTTCTTTTCATTTGAAAATATACAATAGGAGTATGCATGTAACCAAACAGAAATGTACCTGTTGTAATATGAAATATAATAGAACCGGATATCAGTATATATGTTAAGTCTGTATTAAAACGTAAATGACCAATCAAGCTTTGCCATGTATTTGTTCACTTTTGTTGACTGTAATTTGAAAAATCCCAACCAATTGAAAATAAAGATTAACATCTAGGTCTGTGTGTTGTATATTTGCATAAAGATTAACCCTGATGTCCTGCCACGTTAACATATCTTCAGTGAGGGCTAATTAATGTATAAAGAAAAATGTTTACGGTTAAATGTTAGAAAAGAACACCTCCAAAATATTTGATTAACTCTTACTGACCCGTCTAATTACAAAGCAGTTTAAGATATAGATTTCAAAAGGAAAAAGTAAATATCTTATGCAAAAACATTCAAGTGTTTTCTACGTAATCGTATTGCAGGACAAAAAAAAATATTTTTCTTTAAATTAAATATATACAGTACGACTACATAATACTTTATAAACTACTAATGACATGTATCACACGACAGCAGAACAAACTGCACATTTCAATCGAAAATATATCTTGCAAAGGGATCAGGATCAATTATAACTTAAAATAACTTTTTAAAACACGTACGATTTCAATATGTAGAGCAATAGTGTGTGTTTCAATAAAAAAATCTGTAAAATATTAAAGTGTTTACTTTGTCATAAATTGTTGAACTGAACTATTTCAACTACTAGAAATACCAAAACTGTTGAAACGTTTTACTTTAATTTACTTACTCGGTGTTAAGTAAATGTTTATTTAAAAGAGTAACAGGTATTAAAATCATGTTATAATTATGACTAATATATCTATAAGTGTAAACAGTACAAAGTTAATGACCTATAGATCATAACAAGTACAGGGAATTCACGCCCACAATATCATGGTCTCGGATCATACATTTTAATGAACATGTCCGTAACACGGAACAAAATTATCTTTAAAAAATGTCACCCTGTCAGGCTGAACACAAGACATTAACCCTGGGCGTCATTCCATTGAACGCGTTCCAATAAAACCGTACCGACAACACACTCAGGGTAAAGTCCCTGTATATATAGTTGTTTAGATAAAGTAAACATTTTAGTACTTAAACAAAAAAGTAACATGTTTATTATCATAGAATCAACACTTGGTAGGTAATTCCCCTATGATGGTGGTTAAATATTGTCACAGATTGAGGTTTTAGATAGTTCTAGTGTCACACTAGATAAAGAATTATAAAAACGCTATATAAAGAATATTAAAATGAACTTCATAAATCTCCCTGACCTCGTCTCCTGTCATAGTGAAGGAAATTTAACTCTGTAATAAACTTACAGTACTTGCAATCAAATCCACATTAAATACACTACATTGTAAGAATTTAACAAGTACGTACTGATAAAGGCGTTCAAAGCTGACATAAGCAGTTGGTTATCAAACACTTTAGAACAGGTGTGCATGTGATAACATGGTTTTAAGTAAATTATCTTTGTTTTTAATTGTAACAAAATATCTATAGATGAACGCACGCACATCTCACATGCATCTTAACGTCAATTCAATCCTCACATTATATTAGATTTGCTGATAAGCTATAAATAAAAGAAATTACACAATCAACAACAAAAGACATGTAAAAAAAACTAAATGCACGAATTGTTGGTTTTTTTTCTCTCTCCTTTTCTAAAGTAAAAATATCGAAGGCGCACTCTTCAATTTTATACCATTCTGTTTGTTTTCTGAAAAGTGAAAACTTTGCATCTTCTTTGAGGTGATAGAACTAGCGGTTGACGGCCATCAAGTACAGAGGTAATACTAGGTTTTTTTTTCCAATGTGACAAATCACAGAACTTCCCATTTCTAAAGATAAAATCTAAAGTTAAAGTAAGTGATAAAAAGGCTTTTAGAAAATGCTAGTTAAGTTTCTTTTCTGAAATGTAAATGAAATTGTCAATGGTTTAATTCTGATGCAACATTGTTATCCACTCATTAAAACAGACAAAAAGGGTTGGCCAAATGTTGTTTATGTTTCATAAGATGAACTGGTATGTTGGCATGCAGGCAAACGTAAAAGCGTTAGTCACGCTTTACTGATTTTTTATAGCAAGGAAGAAGCTGAACTGACGTGTGTTAAACACAATTTTATGATAAGATTCTGTCATTCTCCTCGACTTATGGAGGTTGCTAAATGGTCATGAAAAAAGAAGTGAATAAGATATGAAATGGTGAGAAATGTTAACAATTGCGCTGCGCGTGTATTATTACAAAACATGGACCCTGATTACAAATACCCTGTTACAATCGATCCTGAAGTCAAGAATTTGACAATATTATTGTTTGACTTTTGTGTCATTAATTTTATTTGAACAACATGTATCATGTCGTGTCAGGTCAAATTGGCCATTGACCTCTGCCCGTCTTGTCTACACAGTCCTTATTTCAACAAACCACTGACGTCAACTTGAGCTTAAATTCAAATATTTATGACAATTTTCTACATTATTTATACACGTGTCTGTCATGAAATATTAACATAATGATGGTATACATAACAAATGAGGAATATATACACCCACATCAATATACAGACTTTAAATTCAAAATGATTATACATTTTTCAGAGCATGGAAACATCCACATAATATATTAACTAGCAACTTTACAATAAACAAGTTTTGTCTTATCTATTCAAAAAATAATAAAAAATACATTTCGACCCACCAACCCACTTCACACAAACTAAGTGAATCATGTCTAATAATTATATTATCGAGATTTGCAATTTTGAGGAATAACGAACGGTTGGTATACGGGTTGTTGGTATACGAGTGGTTGGTATACGAGTGGTTGGTATACGGGTGGTTGCTATACGAGTGGTTGGTATACGGGTGGTTGGTATACGAGTGGTTGGTATACGAGTGGTTGGTATACGCTTTAAGAAATGAAAAATGTTTAATGTTGCAATATTAACCAAAAGTACATTTTATATTTACGAAAATTATAAACAAAATGCATGAACACGTAAACACTAGCCTTGAATTAATAAACTTACAATTGATCCGTGAGTAACTAGTTACAATTGACAGAGTTTATCGGAGTTAAATAAATTAAATTCCAATTAATTACCCCATGCAGTCAAATAAATAATTTGTTTGCAAATAACCGCGAAGGTATGTTTATGAAATTAGAGAATTTGAATAATGTATTGTTTAAAATTCCTATTGCTGTTTTTAAGCATATTATTTTATCCATGGGTTATTAATGTGATTTTGTTTTGTTCTATAAGTTAACGATATTCGTACTATTCATTGATTAGATTTTGAAATGACAGATATTTATTAATAAGTGCACGTGGCGTTATTCCACCGTTTATCTCATATATATATATATGCGAAACAACGCACATTCGACCCCCCATTTTAGACCTCAAATAGTGAAAAAAATGTCCTGTTTGATCCCCAAACACATGTTTTCGTTTGAGAAATGTTGTTAGAAAAAATGATCACTTTTTTTCGGCGCCGCCTCCTATCAGAAAGATACATCAAGGTGGGGGGTGGGGGAGTGTGCACCCTTCTGTTTAGGGGTTTGAAGGGGGCGGCAGAAGATTTTGGACCTTTCAGAGGCTAGAATTGGCCTCAGGTCAATCATAAGGTAACGTGTAACTAACGCTGAAAAGCCTTTGCCTCTATCTCAATCAATTGAGAAGTTGCAGCACTTTGAAGTCAGTTTGGATGGGGATAAAACAACGTAAAATAGTGATTTTGGCAAATTTGAGATGTCCCCTCGTTGCCATGGTAACAGGAAATATAAGATTGAGCATGCCGTCACAATGGCTAGGGTGCAGTCAACATTTGTGCCAAGTTTGATGAATATAGGCATCTGTTATAGTTTCATAGCAATCTGAAATTGTAACCGGAGGCTTTTCAATGGAAACAGTCATTTTTTAACGAAATGCTTATGCACTAATGTGTTAATAACATATACGGGTAAATAAAAGAGGCCGTGTGCTAGCCGCACGATGACTATCTCTCAACCTAGGGATAGTAGATTCGAGCCCTACTGGGGTTATGACCATAGTCATGCTTGTTGTCAACAAATAAGTATAGGTGCCGCTAATTATAGAAACGAGATCCGTATTCAGACACCCCGACTACTTAGTCAGATCAGTGAATTTGTTACAACACAAGCAAAGATGTGACACTGTAACCATTACTAAGCGTTCAATTTAAATCTTACTTTTTAAGTTATGTATCTGATGTAAAATCATAAAGTTAAACCTTCAAGTTAATGCACGCAGAAGTTATAAACAAAACAGTCACGGATTACCAGTATAGTGAATACAAATTTCTCTCGCTTTGGAAACAGTAAATTACTATATTGTTATGTAAGTAGACACTGGAGTGTAAAGGTGATCAGAATAAATATCATCTTCGTAAAAAAGGTTATACTACTTTGAATGGTTTTAACTTTAATTTGTAATCTTGGGGATCAAACCTGGATATGAAATTAGAAGATCAACTACCGTATTGTTCTTCCATAATAGTTTTTGGGATAAAGATTACTTATAAAAGAAACTTATACATGTATATATTGTTGGCAGAATTTTGATCCAGCTTTTCTTTATGTATATTTCTTGTCCTGCTTCTTGAACTATGAGGGAAATTTAAGATGTTTTTTACGACATACCTTCAAACAATACAATAGCATAAACCGCAAGAGAATATTACTGCTTTTAAGTCAAATCGAAACATATACATGTATACAGTATCGGAATAGTAAGCCGCGTGGGTTTCGTCAATGACAAGACGTTGCTTCCTTGAGCATAAAAACTTTACACTCGTTGCTCGAGAGTGTATCTTTATAAGCTCATTGCTTCCTACACAATAAAACTAAAATAAATTCTGTATAAACTGTATATTAAATTACCCATTAAACTAAATACATGTATATTCTACTATTGTTTATAAAACAACATATATAACAATCTGAATACAATAAATATAAAACCAATTTATTTATATACATACATGTACATAATCTGTATTATAACAATATTAATTGTTATACGAGTTCACATCTATATTAATTAACAAACTATCAACATCTGTTTCAGTAACCAATGCCCTGATAACTCATTCTAAATCAACAACAACTTAAAATATTCCCACTGAACATTTAATTAAAAAAAGTTGTGTATAATTCATATGTCAATTGTTATTTTTTTTGTACTGAATGTCCTTCTGGTTCTTTGATAACTTGAACTGTCCATTAACATTACTTATAGATATCTTTGAATTTGAAAGAGTTCACTTATAATTTCACACTTTCTGTAAAAAATCAAATATAATACTGGTAAGTCTAGTGTATTGTCTGACTTCATAGATTATTAACCTGGCTCTAGTGCTATAAACAAATAAACAAGTAATAATTGCTGTAAGCATTCTAACATTTATATCAACTCATCTAAGAATTAAGGTAGTTCTCCACTAGAAGCACAATAAATAAGAATACTATTAGTACATTATTTTAGGACCAAAATAATTAATCATAATTGCAAGTGGTCTAATGATCGTTCATCTTTATTGAGAAAAATCTTTAAAATTCCTGAATACTGGACACTTGACAAACAGCTGTACTAAACTTCCATGAAACACCCGTATTTCATTAAAAACACATCCTCTTTTCAATCACATAAACTTATGCTCAGCATGAGTTCACGACCAGCATACTATACATTATTTATATCTCAGACAGGTGTCTGGGGGTTAAAACATTTATTATACATCAGATCACAGATATAAGAATAAAGATTTCATGTAAAGTTTGACATTGGGTCCTCCTCTCTCCGACGCTTCATCCTCCAAGCCTCCATTTCCTCCTCCGTCGGGGCTTTAGCCTCAAACATACTGTTATATGGTCTCTTTCTCTCATCCATCGCCAGGAATACCTCAGCTTTCTTCTGACTTTCCAATTCTCTCTTCAGAGCCTGTACAAATAATAAACAAGATATAAAACTGGTTGCCAGTAAAAATAAATTATAACATTTGACGAAAAGGGTAAACCTACAAATTCTTTTTCAATTTATTTTATGCAATTTGATAAAAGATACACACAACAATATCCCCATTTAAGATATAAAGTGCATAATATCAATTATATGTACAGTTAAACCAATCATTTTTAATTATTTACATTAAAAAATTCAAATATGTTATGCATACATGTTTACTATAAAAAGTCAATTTCTTACAATTGTTATAGCTAAAGGGAGACAATATCACACAGAAAAAGATGTATTATAAATCATTTACAAGGGAGATAAGCATAGAGGAAAAGAAATATTGTATCTATGGTGCCAGTTTTTTACCATTCTTACCCATGTACAATAAATTACAATAAACTATATATAGTATAGCACATTTCATCATGCTGAACTAAACTGTCATAGTGATGTGAATATATAATAGTCTATCGTCAGTAAAGAAGCATCTTTACCAAAATATGAATACAGCTAACAGTGTAGAGCTTGGTTAGACTGTACAGAAATACAGTCATACCTGCCTTTATCCATGTGGGAAATGCCAGAAATTATGACTGCTACCATATTTTTAGTTATAAAGATTTTTCACAGGTTATATGGTCCTATATGAACAGTCACATAACTTGTCAGAAATATCTATAATGAATTAACAATATAGCAAGCATCTTTTTTCAGAGAAAAAAACTAGATTTCTTCATAAATTGACAGCAGCTGTGTATATAAAACTATATTAGCGTCACGCTTATCCAATGAAAAGCAATGTTACAAACGTTCAGTATTATAAAAATAGTTAATGAACATTAATAGTAAAACAACATTTACCTTCTTTAATTTTTTCTCTTTACGTCTCTCCATCTCGGCCTCGGATAAATCACTATCATCACTCTCACTACTGCTCTCCCTTTTCTTCTTCTTCTTGTGTTTATTCTTCTTCTTTTTCTTCTTCTTTTTATCTTTTGACTTTTCTTGGTGTTGCTAAAATTGATACATAAAATGTTAACATGAACTGTATCATTTCAATTATATTTATAGAGAGATATATGTTTGCATATTTCCTAAAGAGGGAATGATGCATCCACAAAATCGCTGCTAAACATTTAAAACCCAACTCAAATAATAACACTTTCTTCTGTTAACTCACAACATCAATGTGTGTTAACTTAAAGAGACATTTTATGTTACAACTTTTTGAGAATCAGCCATAAGATTGTGGAGAGAAAAACTTAATTTTACTGGATATGAATAATATAAAATGTCATTAGATATAGCTAGAACACCCTTTAATATTTTCATGAAAGAATGTCTTTAAATATCACTGACAAGAAATTACAAACAACTCAAAGCTAACAAAAACACTGTCATGAGGTAGTATGAAATAATCATCATTCCTGATATACCTAGACAAAAGATACATCGTTTAAAAAGTTTTATTTTCTCCCATCATTTCTTTACGTGGGACTGGAGAGGGGGTGATGTAATTGGTGTAAGAAGACTGGAGGCTTTAATTGTATAGATACAAGATGGATCAACAACCACTATTCTCCAGTGAATGTGAAGGAAAACCTAAAAGGAAGACTTATTTAGGTGAACACCTCTGTTTGTCTAAAATAGACGGAAATCCAGGTAGAACCAATAATTTTGCAGAAACCAACTTAATCACATCTTCACACCAAAGAGTTAAATGTTTGTTTCTTTGAACTTAACCAACTGAAATAATGGCAAGCCATTTGAAATCAGCAAACTTAATAATTTAGTAACAGGTACAATTCACACTGGGAATTTTTTTTAAAAGATGTAAAACACAGTGTAAACTTACTTCTAATAAAGATTTTTGTGGAATTTCTTCTTGTTCCTCTTCTACAGGTATAAGACTTCTCTATAAATTAATAGAAAATACATGTAATATGGTTATTTCTGTGTCCTTACATATTTACAACAATATGATGAACAACATAACTTTATATAAGACATAGTTTTTTCTCCAATAAGTAATTCTTCTACATAGTAACTAATAAGTACAATGTGTAACACCATTTTTAATGAACATCTACTTAAAATTAAAACACTTAACATTATGATTTAAACTTGCCAAAGGGACTTCGACACAAAAAAGTAACATACAAGTATTTGTCTGTCTCATGTATTAATTTAATAAAAATATTTACTCTCTTCTGTCACCTGAAATATGACAAACAAGATTAACAGCAACACTGGACTACCAGTAAGGAGCCTAGCAGGATACCAAACAAGTTGACATTGATACTAGTATGTGCTTATTCATGACCTATAAGAACATGAAATAGTAAATAGTTACCTCATGTGCAGCATCTATGCCTGCCTGGCCGGTACAGTATGATTCTTTTATGGTTGAACAACAACATTTGAACCCCCAACTCCCGGCATGCCAATATGATCCCCAAACACTCTATAACAACAAAAATCATCATTATACTTTACTATACTTGCACTTATAAACAGACATAAACTATAAAGAAACAAATAGTTCAAAAACTTAATCAGTTTGGATTTTTCTCAAAACTCCAAAGTATGAAATATTTTCTATGTAAAAGTATGTGTAAAACAGTCCAAGAAACATATGAGTTCAAATATATATCCTCCAATATATATTCTCTGATTTCACTAACTGTATTTTAAAAACATAAACTTTTAATTTCTTACATAAAGTATTCTGACTGATTTAGATTATATCTTACTGTATGGTTATTAATATAAACATCCTCTTCGTATTTTGATCGTACTACAGGTTTCTCCGCCCCTTTTAACACTGTACCATGTCTCGAATACTCTACATAATCTTCCTGAAAAAATACATGATCACAATAAATATTACTTTAAGTTCCTATAAAGACTAGCTGGTAATCAAAGTATTAGTCAAATCAAAGACACAATTTGCTTGTATTTTTATGATTATTTTTAATAATAAATAGAGTACCTGAAACAAAACTGAAGTAGTGCAGGTCAAACAGTTTTAGGTCATGAACAAAGATAACTTGGCAGCACAGACTAAATCTTAATGTAACAGTTTTCTTAACAACATGAACACTCACTTGAATTTTGTATAATAACGATCATAAATTAATCAGATATGGAGAAACAACTTACTGTTTGAGCCAGTAATAATTGTTTTGGTGGAGCTTCTAAATGTTCCTCCCCTCCATATTTCTCTAGGATACTGTTCTTTGCCTGAACTTTTGTATCTTCTTTACGTTGTTTGACCTCTCTAGCCAAAAGTTCAAGTTTTGTAGGATCAGCCTGAATATGTACATCTGAACCATGCTCATATGCTTCCCACGCAAATACTAAAATAATTAAAACATAATTAAGATTCTTCACATTCAATCGTGCCAATAAGATATTTAAAACTATCACTCTAATTGTTGTATAATACAAATGTATTAGATGATCCAATGTTACTGAAGCCATGAAATGATTTAAACAATGATGTAACCCTACTTAAAATAACAGAATAATACTTTATTCCAGAACATTTAATTCTGTTTACATACAATATTTCATGAGTGTTAAATAACAGAGACATCGGAGATTAACCATAATTATAAAGATAATTATAGAAAAAATATGATTGTTAAATTTTTGTTTTTAAATTATACGCATTAACATCTCAGTGACTTAAGTCCTGCATTGTTTTAATATTATATAAATGTATCTATTTTTAGTCTTTAAAATAATGACATTGAAAATTTAGCAGTATACAGGCTTGCTAGATTTACTCATAACTTTAGACTGACAAACTATAAACATTTATATTCCTATTATTGATAATGAACACTGCCAAAAATGGAAGATGAATCAGTCCATTTTTTGTTTGTTGGGTTTTTCTTCGCACCAACACAGGATAGGTCATATGGTGACTTTCAGGATTTACTGGACGAGATAGACATCTGGCCTTCCTTGTATTATTTCAGGCACCGGAGCAGAACAACTGACACTCCACTCTGTTAGCTTGCTGGATAGCTTCCTCACATGAATGAGTCCAAAGTCCAAATTGGGATTTAAACCAACAGCAGTGAGGGGCAAGTGATTTGAAATCAATGACTGTATCAACGTGGCCACAGATACACCTACTAATCCATTAAATCAATTCTGCAAGGAAAGTGTAAATTTACACTTAGAACAAATAACTAACTTGCCAAGAATTAAAGTATCTAACATGATAAAAGGAAAAGATCAAGTGAATGTGTTTTCACCCACCTTGTTTTTTAGCAAAGTTTTGTGCATCCCCTGAATATCTTGTAAAATTGTCACCATGATACTGAGTTCTATAGAAAGAGATAAAAAACAAATTTTTTGTACAGCTTTTATCAAAATAAATTCAAAATATTAAGATTTTGGTTAATCTTTACCAGATAAATAGTGAATAAAAAATTCACTTCATCAGGACTTTTGTTTTTGAGTTTCTGTACTGGCTATAAATTGTTGAACAATAGAGATAACATTATTCTGTCCCACAAGTCTTATTGATAACCATTAAATTAATTACATCTGGACCAAGTTAATTATTCTTATGTAGACAATAATTCTTCTACAATTGTAAATTGTTTAATCTAAAAATAGAGCAGATATAAAAAGAACATTAATTCTGCTATGTTTCTATCTGTACAAATTATACAGGTATTATTCCAGACAACAACTAAAAGTAAGAACAGGCAATGATCTTCCATTAACAAACATTGTAGCTTTTCTACATAACAAAATAGGTTTCAAGCTGGTGTCTACTAATATAGTATTAAGGAAGAAAAAGTGAAACATTATCGGGAAAGTGCGGTAAGTTATGGTATAGCTTATAATAAAATTGTCACAAAAATCTTGATTGACCATAAACATGAAAATTTACAAAACTGACATATTGCTTTGACTTTGTAACAGACCATAAATAATGTGAGGGACTTTGAAAACAAGTTACTAAAATAAAGTATGTAACAATCATGATAGAGTGTGGTCACACTGTACACGAGACTGTTCACGATGATCACCACAGCCTGACTCTGTACTACTGACATTATCATGTCATTTTTTACCACCTCTAACAATCTAATAGTTGAGATAAAAGGATAACTCTTACTGTTGTTCCTTGCCTGTATTCTGGAATGGGTTATCTCTCATGGATCTTGTTTTAGGATCATAGTAGGCCGAGTTCACATCCAGGTTATACAAATACTGAAATAATAATGGTAATCAGAGGGGGCATTAATATCACATTATCATATTCAACATTATAATATTTTAGGAATTAAAAGAAAAAATTTGATTTTATTATATTTTGTATAAATAGGCATTATATATCAGAATTTTTGCAACGTCAGTATTAACTTTTAAAGTTATCACTTCACAAGCTTTGTGCAAAATGGTTGTATCTTCTCTTTTATGTTATATGAGTTACAACTGTGTCACATAAAATCATCATTTTTACTCTGTGGATTCAAAAACTACCGTTACTTAAGTTTATAGGAATATCACTAAGAACATTTTTTATCAATAAGTCACATTGCCTGCTCCCTAAATTTACTGTTATAACAAAACAACAATACAGAACTTACCTTGGCAGTATCTTCACGTATACGCAAGTTTCTCACAGTAATTCTCTAAACAACAATACAGAACTTACCTTGGCAGTATCTTCACGTATACGTAAGTTTCTCACAGAAATTCTCTATACAACAATACAGAACTTACCTTTGCAGTATCTTCACGTATACGTAAGTTTCTCACAGTAATACTCTATACAACAATACAGAACTTACCTTGGCAGTATCTTCACGTATACGTAAGTTTCTCACAGTAATACTCTATACAACAATACAGAACTTACCTTGGCAGTATCTTCACGTATACGTAAGTTTCTCACAGTAATACTCTATACAACAATACAGAACTTACCTTGGCAGTATCTTCACGTATACGTAAGTTTCTCACAGTAATTCTCTATACAACAATACAGAACTTACCTTGGCAGTATCTTCACGTATACGTAAGTTTCTCACAGTAATACTCTATACAACAATACAGAACTTACCTTGGCAGTATCTTCACGTATACGTTAGTTTCTCACAGTAATTCTCTATACAACAATATAGAACTTACCTTGGCAGTATCTTCACGTATACGTAAGTTTCTCACAGTAATACTCTATACAACAATACAGAACTTACCTTGGCAGTATCTTCACGTATACGCAAGTTTCTCACAGTAATTCTCTATACAACAATACAGAACTTACCTTGGCAGTATCTTCACGTATACGTAAGTTTCTCACAGTAATACTCTATACAACAATACAGAACTTACCTTGGCAGTATCTTCACGTATACGTAAGTTTCTCACAGTAATACTCTATACAACAATACAGAACTTACCTTGGCAGTATCTTCACGTATACGTAAGTTTCTCACAGAAATTCTCTATACAACAATACAGAACTTACCTTGGCAGTATCTTCACGTATACGTAAGTTTCTCACAGTAATTCTCTATACAACAATACAGAACTAACCTTGGCAGTATCTTCACGTATACGTAAGTTTCTCACAGTAATACTCTATACAACAATACAGAACTTACCTTGGCAGTATCTTCACGTATACGTAAGTTTCTCACAGAAATTCTCTATACAACAATACAGAACTTACCTTGGCAGTATCTTCACGTATACGTTAGTTTCTCACAGTAATTCTCTATACAACAATACGGAACTTACCTTGGCAGTATCTTCACGTATACGTAAGTTTCTCACAGTAATTCTCTATACAACAATACGGAACTTACCTTGGCAGTATCTTCACGTATACGTAAGTTTCTCACAGTAATACTCTATACAACAATACAGAACTTACCTTGGCAGTATCTTCACGTATACGTAAGTTTCTCACAGAAATTCTCTATACAACAATACAGAACTTACCTTGGCAGTATCTTCACGTATACGTAAGTTTCTCACAGTAATACTCTATACAACAATACAGAACTTACCTTGGCAGTATCTTCACGTATACGTTAGTTTCTCACAGTAATTCTCTATACAACAATACAGAACTTACCTTGGCAGTATCTTCACGTATACGTAAGTTTCTCACAGAAATTCTCTATACAACAATACAGAACTTACCTTGGCAGTATCTTCACGTATACGTTAGTTTCTCACAGTAATTCTCTATACAACAATACAGAACTTACCTTGGCAGTATCTTCACGTATACGTAAGTTTCTCACAGTAATACTCTATACAACAATACAGAACTTACCTTGGCAGTATCTTCACGTATACGTAAGTTTCTCACAGAAATTCTCTATACAACAATACAGAACTTACCTTGGCAGTATCTTCACGTATACGTAAGTTTTTCTCACAGTAATACTCTATACAACAATACAGAACTTTCCTTGGCAGTATCTTCACGTATACGTAAGTTTCTCACAGTAATTCTCCATACAACAATACAGAACTTACCTTGGCAGTATCTTCACGTATACGTAAGTTTCTCACAGTAATACTCTATACAACAATACAGAACTTTCCTTGGCAGTATCTTCACGTATACGTAAGTTTCTCACAGTAATTCTCCATACAACAATACAGAACTTACCTTGGCAGTATCTTCACGTATACGTAAGTTTCTCACAGTAATACTCTATACAACAATACAGAACTTACCTTGGCAGTATCTTCACGTATACGTAAGTTTCTCACAGTAATTCTCTATACAACAATACAGAACTTACCTTGGCAGTATCTTCACGTATACGTAAGTTTCTCACAGTAATTCTCTATACAACAATACAGAACTTACCTTGGCAGTATCTTCACGTATACGTAAGTTTCTCACAGTAATTCTCCATACAACAATACAGAACTTACCTTGGCAGTATCTTCACGTATACGTAAGTTTCTCACAGTAATACTCTATACAACAATACAGAACTTACCTTGGCAGTATCTTCACGTATACGTAAGTTTCTCACAGTAATTCTCTATACAACAATACAGAACTTACCTTGGCAGTATCTTCATGTATACGTAAGTTTCTCACAGAAATTCTCTATACAACAATACAGAACTTACCTTGGCAGTATCTTCATGTATACGTAAGTTTCTCACAGTAATTCTCTATACAACAATACAGAACTTACCTTGGCAGTATCTTCACGTATACGTAAGTTTCTCACAGTAATTCTCTATACAACAATACAGAACTTACCTTGGCAGTATCTTCACGTATACGTAAGTTTCTCACAGTAATTCTCTATACAACAATACAGAACTTACCTTGGCAGTATTTTCACGTATACGTAAGTTTCTCACAGTAATTCTCCATACAACAATACAGAACTTACCTTGGCAGTATCTTCACGTATACGTAAGTTTCTCACAGTAATTCTCTATACAACAATACGGAACTTACCTTGGCAGTATCTTCACGTATACGTAAGTTTCTCACAGAAATTCTCTATACAACAATCCAGAACTTACCTTGGCAGTATCTTCACGTATACGTAAGTTTCTCACAGTAATTCTCTATACAACAATCCAGAACTTACCTTGGCAGTATCTTCACGTATACGTAAGTTTCTCACAGTAATACTCTATACAACAATCCAGAAACTTACCTTGGCAGTATCTTCATGTATACGTAAGTTTCTCACAGTAATTCTCTATACAACAATACAGAACTTACCTTGGCAGTATCTTCATGTATACGTAAGTTTCTCACAGTAATTCTCTATACAACAATCCAGAACTTACCTTGGCAGTATCTTCACGTATACGTAAGTTTTCTCACAGTAATTCTCTATACAACAATCCAGAACTTACCTTGGCAGTATCTTCACGTATACGTTAGTTTCTCACAGTAATACTCTATACAACAATACAGAACTTACCTTGGCAGTATCTTCATGTATACGTAAGTTTCTCACAGTAATTCTCTATACAACAATCCAGAACTTACCTTGGCAGTATCTTCACGTATACGTAAGTTTCTCACAGTAATTCTCTATACAACAATCCAGAACTTACCTTGGCAGTATCTTCACGTATACGTTAGTTTCTCACAGTAATTCTCTATACAACAATACAGAACTTACCTTGGCAGTATTTTCACGTATACGTAAGTTTCTCACAGTAATTCTCCATACAACAATACAGAACTTACCTTGGCAGTATCTTCATGTATACGTAAGTTTCTCACAGTAATTCTCTATACAACAATCCAGAACTTACCTTGGCAGTATCTTCACGTATACGTAAGTTTCTCACAGTAATTCTCTGTTTGGTTTCAAACTTCTGGCCTGGCATGGCAACATCATCAGCATATTTATCTTCATCGTCTGAGTCATCCTTTGTCTATAATAACATAATATGTTTGCTTTAATATACATGTGTATGTCAGCTTTAATATACATGTATATATATTCATCACATAACTATGCTGCTTTTGCGACTCAGTAAAAAAGGTATGGCATGGACATGCTTACATTTTGAGGTGAAGTCATTTGCGTTAGACAAACATATCCTTAAAGCTTGCTAAAGGTACCTCAATGAAAAAATGATTACCTGAAAAATGGTTCTTTTTTAGGTATGTGATGAATAGAGGCTCTCATAATATAATTTATTCAACTTGTTCAATAAATTAAGTATTGAACATATACTCATACAATTTCCTCTATGTATAGTACTGTACACAAACTAGACAAAGAGATTTTAAATGATTTTTTTTATAAATGATTCATTTCCATCTCTTATGAGACTGAACACAGAGAACTCCATGCATCCTAATGTCAAACCTTTAACAGTCTTGTTATAAAAAGTTAAGTGAATTTTTTTAAGAAACATAGCAAACAAAATATTTTATTATTTTTTATGCTATCACATATCCTTTTCTTTATAAATTTTATCACAACAAAACCAACAATTAAAACATATATTTTTTTATTCTATGAGAGAAGTTGTGACATACTTGTGTGTCTGTTCTTTCTTCAGTATCTTCATTTCCCTCCAACAACTCTTTCTCTATATCATGTTCCTTTAACATTCTTTTTGCCTGAAATATATCAAATAAATTGTTTTAAGGTTATCTCTACGTTTCACTGTCATCTGTTTAATGTGAATTTTAAATGTTTTATACTGAAAATGTTAGTGCAATTAAATGTATTACACACAAACAAGAGACATTTGCTTCTTCTGGAAGAGACAGACAAAAGATTGAAATTTGTCTTTAAAATTTCTTGCATAATCAGAATGAGTAAACTTTTCCAACATAATGAATTATCTTAACTGACCTTATCATAATGAATTAACTTGGCTTGTTTAATTTAACTAAGATCACTAACCTGTTCTATTTTCTCAAACTCCTCATAAACTCTTTGATGTTCATCAGGATTATAACCATTCCATCTATCTCTCTTTCCCTCATAGTCAAACTCTAAATCTGGCTGTATATGTTCATCTGGAGCAAAACTATCACCTGTAAACTTAGCACCAATCTTTCTTGGTCGCTGAAATTATATGAAAAGAAAAGAAAGTTCAACAATAGCTTAAAACTTATATGACAACTTATATTGACTGTATACCTGCATATATCTGACATAGTGTGTGTTTAAACTCAGTTGTAATTGCACAATTGATCAAACTAGGAATCATTTTAATATTTGTCACTAACAATAATGTTAGTAAAGAGACATTTATTTTTCATGTGTTTTTTTAATTCAAAATATGATCTGGTTATATTATTGATATATCAAAATTGAATATATAAATTTATATTATTAAGATATTAAATTTACCAGGTAGTAAAGTGTTAGCAATTAGACTGTATGATATAAACTGTCATCATGGTGTTATACCAGTTATCTAAGTAATCTCACAATCTCAATTATAACATACATGTACTAAAAGAAAGTATGTTTTCTTATGTTCATTTCTATTGACCTTTGAAATCTATATCCAGGGTTCGAACATGCCAAAAAAGGGGGAGAAGTGACTTTGCCCGTCAGACAAAAAAAAGAGAGATTTTTTATGAGAAAAGGGTTTAAAAATGATTTAATATTCAAAATTACGAAAAATATTTAACCAAATGTTGAAAATCTCCTAGTATAAGATGTACATTTATACAGCAATTTTAAATGACAGTTATTTTAATCCCTTATTCAGCTGGATCAGAAAGTCACCAGTATAAAACTGTTTACTGTTTGCTGGCCAACTTTTAATCTCATCTTTATTATTAAGATTATAATTAATAAAGATCAGTTCCACAATGGAAACCAGACATGTTCATTTTAAGAAAGTTAAGGATTAAAATATTTATCTGGTTTTGATTGTCCTCAAAAAAAGTGAAGTCAGAGTGGCTATAGAAGGCATTTGTCTCTAAATATTACTTAGCAAAACAAGACCTTTAAGCCAGTTTTCAATCATTTTATGTACTTATTGTGACAACTTCTGTATTTAATATTTTAAAATAATGTATATTAATGACAACAACTCTTATTGTGCTGAATAGATGTTATCTGGAATTCTGAAAATGTTGGTTTTTCAAAGCTAATCCGTAGGTACAAACAAACTGTTACTGTTATAGCTATATGGTACAAGATTGGTCACAATAGATTAGTTAACCTGTTGCGATATTTTCAAAACTGTAAAAGTTTGTTTGTTTGGATTGACTGGGAAAAAACAAATAGTCTAAATTCCGGAGTTAATCTATTTGTACACATGTAATTGGTTTGACCTGCTTTGAGAAATAATTTCAGTATTATAAATAAAATACTAAAACTGAGAAGACAGCAAAACTTATAGTCTGATAAATCATCACGGTTGTGCAGACTCACCTGCATCTTTACTGGTGGTGGAGGTCAATTACTGAAGCCCAGTGGGTTAATAAACTAATATTACAACTTGAAAACATCTTAATGCAAAAACAATATTACATGTATAAACTGAATTACCTCTAGACAATCTTTTTTCTTATGTGTCATTGCACCACAGTTTTCACAAGCGCCTTTCCTGAACTTGGTAGTGATTGCCCCCTAGAAATATAAATCATAATCATATTATAAGTTTGTCAATGTGCTCTTCAATATTCAAATTGGATTATGAACTGTTTGATATTAACTGTATTCTGTCAAATGATTAAAAGCATTATAAATTTACATACTTAGTTTACCTTGATTGTGACGAAAACTTGAAGCTAATTTTTTTTTTCTTGAGTCCACTTCCTGGAACTAACCAGTACTTACAACATGTAAGGAAACTTAAAACAGACCCAAGTTGGACTTGAAACCAAAATTTCTGAATTCAGAGGCAGGCAACTTGACTTAAAGCCTTGAAATTTGTATGGCATTTATTTTTTTGATAAAAATTGGTTAAATGTGAGCTGACTAAGTACATACATGTATATAAAATCTCTAAAGGGTGATCAATATATGGACTCTAGTAGAACTTTGATCAAGAGTAAAGCTTTTTGTCTCAGTGAATATGCCAATGGCATGTAATTTATTCTACACATTGTATGATTGGCAAACAGCTAGTACATGTATAAAATCACATCATCAATTAATAACAACACTGTGAGAAATAACTTACATCTTTAACACCTTTATTGAACCACTGTGTGAGTTTAGAGAAATCTTTTTGTTTCTCTGGTTGTGGCCTTTGATGTTTTAATGTAGGACGGTGTTCCCCAAAATACCACGGTACTTGCATAATATACTGAGGAATGTGTGGATTTATGTCCCTGAATTATAAAACAATGATAATGTAATTTATATTCTTATTATAATGTCATAACTGAAAATTATGAACTATTTTCATCAACCATTAAATTCTTATTATCACAGAGATGTCTAGTTCTTATAATTTAGTGGAAGTTACAAGAATTGAAACATAATCATTGTACAATTTAATATAATTAAAATAACTGACTTCATTTTTTTCCACCTTTAGTTATTTAAAAATAAATACTATGCAAATTCTGATCAAGTTTGAACTATAAAATATGAATGTTTAAAAAAAACTGTTAAAATCAACATAAAGTCAATGTTTTTACTTTTTAGTGTGTGTTAATGACATATCTATCAACAGAATATCTTGTTACAATGTAAATGCATATATTCATAGCAACAATATTTAACTTACTTTCCTTCTTCATCTTGCATTGCTGGCACTGTACCAGCTTTTCTCGCCTCTTCAAGCTCCTTCATTTTCTTATAGTCCTCCCTCGACTTCTTCTGTGGTTCGTCCGACTCATCTGTCTTAGCCTGTTTGGCTATTACAGATGGCGGCAAACTGGTGGAGAACGCCATCTTGTTTCCACTACCTGCTCACACTGGTCAGGGTAATTGCTGACAAAAAGCTTATAGAATGTTTTCTTCACAGTTTTAGGAAATCTGTAAAAAAAAATTATTATATAGTAAATAATAAAAGATTATTATATATCTAACATATTGACCCACATAAACAAAGTTCTGTTCAAAGACTTTACATTGCACTATTACGAATATTTATGGAAATAGAATCTGGTACTTCTTAATGGTCCTGAATGAGGTATCCAAAACATGGTCTTTTTCCCCTAGGTAGATATATCAAATTTAACGGAGATTTACATCATTTTTAAATTTCAGGGGTCCAGTGGATGCAGAATTTAAGGGATCCAACCACTAATTTAAGCGACCCAACTACTAATTCAAGGTTTTCCAGGGTTTCTACTAGGAATTTTTATTTAAGAGTACCAGGGACTCGTGCTCATAAAATATGAGGGTCCCAGAGAAAAATATGAGGGTCCTCATCATTTATTACTTTAAAGTAAGGTATTACTTATATATATATTGTCTAGGTTTAATTCTTTACATTTATATACATTGTTCAACTACATATGCATTTTTATTAACCTTGTTAAATAAAATAAAAAATATAAACTATTTATTATTTATTGTTACTTTTTCATTTCTTTCATTTGGCTGAATGTTTGTGCAACTTGCATAATGTCAAGATCTTTCATATCTGGTCCGACATACGTCTTGATGACGGACAAATGTATCTACTATTTTGGAAGTTCAAACATCCATTTTCCGAGGCAAATGGATTACATTGTTTGGTTGAGACGCAATGGCTGCATTTCATATCCGTGGTCGTCTCGTTTTGGACGAGCCACGGGTAAGTTAACTTAGCCACTTTTCATTAAAATTAGGGGAGCAGCCGACATGTTTTACGATTTATTTTAGAACAAAAAACGCATAGACTGGGACGCTTTTTAAGGTCGACTAAATTCTAGTGTGCGCCGTTTTATTCCGTATTTAACTGTAATTAATTGAAAGAAAGATAACTCTGCTGTATTCAATATTAGAACCCGTCTACCAAATTACGTCATTTCCTTTAAAGAAGCGGAAGAATTTCCAAATGATATTTACGGAGGAAAATTTAATTTGCGTCCCCATGGACGCACACTTAGAGTAATTGAGGGTCCTAGGTTACTATTTTAGCGTCAAGGACGCAGGAAATGTGCGTCAATAGAAACCCTGGTTTTCAAACACTAATTTAAGCAGTTTCCTTACTTTACTCAATTATTTACTGATATCTTAAATGTAGCAAGCACTCGTACTGCAAGGTTTTATTAATGATTTTAAGCAAAATGTAATAAGCCAATATTATATTTTTATGCATCCCCTTGTATGTTAAAACAGTTTTTCTGGTTTCATATCTCATTTTCGTTCCAACTAAAATTGACATTCGGAAAACCATGGAGCTTAATAAAGATGGAGAAGAAACTTTGATGTCACACAGTTAAATTCAGTATCGGCTGAATTGTGTTTACTTAAGTTATATGTCGCAGGATTTTCCGAGGTTTTAGGCATCCTGGGTTAAAGTTGCCAAATTACCGCCATATTAAATTCCCAGAGATACATCAATAAAAAGATGAAGCATTTTCTTCTTACATAGAAGCAATAGTTCTTTATTCTAAACCGTACATATACACACTTTTCCAAACAAATCCCTGTCGGCAATGTAAACATTAATTTACTAAAATCGCCGAAGTTTAACGCGAGTGCAAGAATCAGAGACTAGGGGGAAACCCGATATCAAAAAAGCGCGCAAAGGATTGTGGATCTGAATCTGACTATCGTCTATTTTCAGAGCTCCCTATCCATTGTATGTAGATCTGTGGGAAAACCTTGCCAATTACTTCTACTAGACTGGTTCTAAAACCCGGGAACCATTTTAGGTCAGGGAAGCAGATCAGCCCTAATATCAAGTTTCGCAAAGTACATTTTCCAAAATGGGACACTCTTAGTGTATTCACGGTTGTTTTATAAAAACGTTTGTAAATACGTAAACTTTGACTGATTCAAGGCTATGGAACAATTTATGATAAATAACCAACAAAATAATTACCTTTTTAATGCAACTTACTAAATAATAATTTGGCAGCTGGGTTAAATAAATAAATAAATGCGTTATAAAATCTATATATTCATAAAAATTATGTAAGAGAGCACCATTTAAGAATTAGGCTTATTCATATCAAAGATCTAGTTGGTTATAAATTATTCATACATAAAAACAACAACAAAAACAATAAATGTAATCATGTTTGCGCTTCGTTTCAAAGACGTAAAATTTGACAAATCGCGAAATCATATTACAAAACTAAATTTCTGCTATTTTTCTCAACTATTACAACTTATCACCTAAAAATGCATTACATTTTCATTCAGTTAAACTTAATTTGTGAAAAACATGTATCTTTTTTATATTAGATAAGTGATATAAAAATTAAAAACGAAATTTGCTTACAAAATATTTTCTTTGCGTAAACGTAAGAATAATAAGTTGTGACGTTATTGTAGGTATTAGACTGCCAAGATTCTGACGTCAAGCATTTCTAGACCATAGAAAGACGTTTCTTAACGTCACACGTTTTCCTCCCTTTTTTATGCTAATATAAATTTGATTCTTTTGATTTAACAAAATTTCTTAATACATATATAAAGTTTAATGGTATTTTTCATTAAATGATGACCATAATCACGGATTTATATTACCTTGTAATATAAATCCGTGCCATAATATTGATTATTTATTTTAAATAACTGCGCTCTGTTCTATCTGTTATTTTTCAGACTAATAACAGTTTTCAAGGTCACTTTCTTAGAATGCATGTATGTATGTAGTTTATGCTTAATGAGGGTCCATCCGCCCTTTCGAGCACAAAATGCAGCTTTCGCTGTCGAGTACGGACCCCGGACATGTCACCAGTCATGCCCTTAAAGTGTTAATTTTGAAGCACAAAGTGGTGATAATTTACCTCCATGCAATTTCCACGGAGTTTTAGCCAAAGATATGAATTTTGAGCCAAAAGTAGGTCACTGTACGACGGTCAATGAGAACCTAAATGTACAGTAACCTGTGACAATATGAAATGGTAGCTCTGAAAAGGGCTGTTGGTGCCGGCAAAAGGCATGCCTTACAAGCCGTCTATCTGTACTTCGGGCTCACGCACCCTAGCACACCATCCTCGTCGTCTCAGCCTAGTTTGTAGGGCCACTCCCCTCGGCATTAGTCAGGACACCGGCAGCTAACTTCATGCAAACTAAGTCGTATCGCCTTAAACGTTACCCCGAGCTGTAGACAACATGCGAACTTGCCGCCTTACACGTAGCATTGGTCCTTCAATCATATTTTCATAAAAACTCTCATGTCTTGTGATATTATTGTATCTTCCATGTTTAACAGCTAAATTATAGGACGATGTTCGGAATCTAGATAAAAAATATTCTATACTTCGTTTTTTTAGTAACGCATTGATATTTTTTCTATATTAAAAGTATACGTCAAGACGAGGTACATATTTGTAAACCAATTTATATATAAATACATACAATTTTTCGTAATAAAATGATTATAATCTAAGAATCTAAGAACAGATAAAAAACGATTTTATCATTTAGCACAATAAACGAGGTTGTATTATAACGACAGGGAAGACAACTCTAGAGGTTATAGGAAGAAATGAGAGTTACTTTTCATACTCATATGTAAATACTAGCAGGATCTTTAAAATGTTTGAAAGACCCTTGTACTAGCTAGTGAAACGCGCCTTCAATAAATCATGCTTTTACAAAGTTGTAAATGATAAAACTTCTGGATCATTTCTCACAAATTATTATAAAAAAACCTTAAAAGTCAAAATTATATTATCGTATAATTTTACGTAGTTATAAATCTGAAACTTGAATATTTTATCTTTGAAATCATTTAGTTTAAAGATAACTCATGTCACACATTTATATCATTTCTCATGTACAATTTATCACCTAATGGACTTTGTATGTAATATCATTATCTTAGAGGGCAATTTCATTACAAGCGTACTTACGGACAAACAGTTAGCAGTAGGTAGTTTAGGAATAGGAAAATGTTGAAACTCGCTGTAGCTTCGGCCCTTCTAGGGCTCTGTTTAGCATCACTGCAAAGTAAGTCTTTCTTTGTTTGTTTACTTTGTTCGAATTTATTTTAGTTCGATTGTGTTGGAAACTATAAGCTTATTGAAACACTCTCGAATCCGTTCCTGGAACAAACTGGTACTAAGCTATGAATGTAAAGTTTATTGCTCAAGGGAACAACGGCTTTTCCCTGACGGGGTTTGAAACCATCCGGCCAACAATCCTTAGATTACATGTCCGGCAGGTATACCACTCGTCCACGCCGCCACTTAAATAGGAATAGGAAAATGTTGAAATTCGCTATAGCTTCGGCCCTTCCAGGGTTCTGTATAGCTTCACTACAAAGTAGTTATTTCTTTGTTTAAGTCAACTTATATTACTGTTTTTTAATTAAAAAAAAAAACCCACCGTAACTTTGATTGAAACAAAACCCTTTTTATCGTTAACCTTGAAAAAGCCTTTTCTTCATGCCATATTCAGACGGCTATTTTGAAAAGTGCAGGAAAATCTCCGTGTTAATATATAAGATATGATTTCACTATGATATGGTTTTGACATTACAACTCCGTGTTAATATATAAGATATGATTTCACTATGGTTTTGACATTACAGATGTGGAGAGGGTAACACAAAACTACGATGATGAAGTGAACAACAAGATTGTTCTACAGATACAGTATGAACTCAAGGCCAGTTACATGTACCAGGCTTACGTAAGTTTAACTTTATCATACAACAATCTGTTAAACGTACATAATTTGAAAGTAAAGATCAACTCAAGAAACAGAGCTCTTACTAAATTTATACGTACGATTTTACATCACTTTATGTGTATCAAAATACTAGTATCATTAAAACTAACGGTTACGTTAACATCCCATGCAAACATTATAATTATGTAGATTATAACCCACAAAGTACCATTGATTTCACTAGAGCATTTCCATTTCGCAGCGGCCACAAACATGTCCATGCCATGGTTACGGTAAAAACAAAAGTTGTTCGTAAATAAATCAAGTAATATATATTTCCAACCGTACACGTTACGTAACGCTTATATGAAGCAACTTGCTTCCTGGGATAGTATACATTGTATCATTTAATGTATTTCGAGATAAGCTTGTTAATGTGACGTTCAAATGACAAGCCACTGGACTTCATTAAATGTCCCTGAAAATGTGTCATATTACATGGAAATATGGCATTTTGTTTGCGATCAAATACATATTTCTGCATTACAACAAAGTTTTAACAAAAAATATAGACATTAAATATAATGAACCGTTATTTTCAACACGACTAACGCACTCTTTATGAAATATAACATGTAATATACATTTTACAGAGTCATTATTTCGGACGGGCTGATGTAGCATTGCCAGGGTTCGCTAAATGGTTCGAGAAAGCATCATTGGAAGAACGCCAGCACGCTACTGGACTGATTGAGTACATAAACAAACGTGGTGGTACCGTCTCTCTCAACAATCTTAACGTAAGTAGTATACGCGTTAACGTAAACATGACGTTATTGTTAACATTAAGGACGTTTTCGGGAGTTTTCATACAGACATGTAGGCAAAATTAAAACTGGCACGTTGTTAGAATATGATAATAGAAACATTTTAAGCGAAAACAGTTATTTTAATTTTACCTGAACACTCACCATTTACTCTTGGATGGCCATAATGTCATATTAACTTTCCCGCAAATAATTACAATTTTGTATAAAAAAATTGGAACATTTCTGAAATTTAGCTTTTAATATTTACTCGAAGTAATAATTGCTTTTTTTCTTTTATCAAGAAATTGGAAGTTTCGTCTTTAATCTAGTTCGGTTCTATTTTCAGTTTAACAATATGTGCACAACCGTCTCACAAGAACTTTCAAAAATGAAAGAATTCGAAAGGGGACATGCATGTGTAAGTAGCCTTTTTTATAGAACACTAATCAAATAAGAAAAGTACCATAATGCCTGGGATTTTCGATAGGGTGCGTGCTGCTATTCATAGAGTACAAAACAAATGAAGAGGTACCATGTTGCCTCCATTGTTTTCACAAGCAATTTTAGAAATCGAATTAGTGAACATTTTTTTGTACACTACGTGAATTTACATTATATCTATATCAAATATTAAACAATGGTATTAGATTATACATAATAGTTCAAATAAAGATATGATAATTTTCTATGTGTAACTGTACAATGCGAAGAATATACATAACAAATGAAGAGGAACTGTGTTGCCTCCATTTTTTGCACTAGCAGTTTTAGAAAGGGAATTAGTGAACACCTTTTTTGTACAATATGTGAAATAAGCATTACATTTAATATTAAACAATGGTATTAGATTATATGTAATAGTTCAAATAAAGATATGATGATTTTATATTTGTAACTATACAAAGCGTTGTAAATCAGCGGCATCAGAAATGAAAAATACACATTACAGATGTATATAATAGTTTTCAGACATTTAAAGTCGTGTTTCACATTGCTTTATACAGATTTGCACCTTTATGTCTTACATTGATTTATACAGATTTGCACTTTTATGTCAAGTCAGAAGGAGATATCGCCAAGCGAAAAGTCACTCCCACCTTGTCCAGTAAGTAAAGAAGACAGTTTCATTTTCACTTGAACAAATTTCAATACTTTTTTAAAAAGAACAATGTATTTTTATAACATAACATAACATAACATAACATAACATATATTTTATTAGTCTTAAGCACATTAACAGCTCATCGACATTTACATACAATATGACACGTATTTGTAGCATGCGTAATAATTATAATCATATTTACAGAAATAGAAAAACACATACATTATACACAAAACACAAAACACAACGGCTACACACAATAATAAACAGCGAGAATTCATATATTTTTTACGAAAATAGAAAGCTTGGTAAATACGTCATCTATTATGACACTATTATGTTGAAAACTACACATTCACTGTTCGAACACTAATTGGTCTCTCTAAAAAATGATTGTCTGATTCTAAAAGCCTTAAGAATATATAATGCTAGCTTGATAAGTACATTTTTATTGGTCGAATTTAAAAGTTCAATGAACTTGTAAACACTTGCATGATTACAATAATAGTCACTTATATACTTCTTTCTGATGTCTCTATATAATTTACATGTTAAAACGAAGTGGAATTCGTCTTCAATGTCATTCATGTCACATAGCATACACTTTCGCTGATCTCTAGGCACTGCATTTTCAAAGTGTCTTGCCTTTTCTATCATTAAATCATGCGATCCCATACGTATCTTTGCAATTGCTCGTCTGTATTTCAAGTTATTCAATATTATGAGATATGGGGGAATTTCAAAAGTTTGTTTGATTTCCTTGTATAAATATAACGAAGGACTAGTGTTAATATCTATATACCATTCTGCTATGTAAAAGTCTCTTAGTCTCTGTTTCAGAACAGGCGTAAATCTTTCTATACAAACAGATGCTGGGAAAACCCATATTTCACCAAAACCAATTGCATTTAATAAATCTCTCACTTTTAATAACCAATTGTCAATAGCATTTTCAGTCAAATTTAACAATCTATCAAGCAAAGTATTTAAAATACAATTACTTTTTCTACTGCTCAGTTTTATAAAATATTTAACTGCTTTTACTTTTCGATCGATTATCAAAGGGAAACGGCCAGACTCACCATAAACCCGCACATTACTAGTAGACATTTTTACACCTAGTGTCCATTTAATAAATTTTCTATGCACCCGTTCTATGCACTCCGCACTTGACAGGCCCCATATTTCACCAGAATATGTCAGAATTGAGCTCACAAAAGAGTCAAATAAATTAAACATGATGTTTGTTGGTACTTGCATATTTTTTACCAATGAGAATAACGACCCGACCGCTTTGAGTCCTTTTGCCGCTAGCGTCATTGTTGCTGTTCTAAAGGAACCTCCGGATGTAAACACTAGACCTAAATAGTTGAAACTATTCACTATCTCTATTTCTTCATTGCCGTAATGCCATCTTTCATTTGCAGCTATAATGCCTCCTTTTCTAAAGACCATAATTTTAGTTTTTTGGATATTTACAGTTAAGTTCCACTTTTCGCAGTAACTCTGTAAGCTATTTATTGATGATTGTAAACCTTCAATATATACACTTAAGAAGTATGTACATGTATATAATTACCGTTAAGGGAGCGTTAAATTTCATCACGAAAATTAACTTAACAACGATAATGAGCTGATAAGAACCAGTATAAAAAGTTCATAGACACAGGTAATTGACCAGTAACTTTTATCAGTGATCACCTCATATTACAATCATAAAATGATATGAAATATATTGGGAATGCAACCTGTCATAATTCTCTATCATTTTGTATTGTTGTTATATATAAATTCTTTGCAAAATAAGACACAGACTTACAGGGAAGAAAAAATATTCGTAGTGCAACCCTATTCATCTATTCATATAGTTTACAAAACAATAAAATGGTGTAATTACTAGGAAAAGTAAAAGTCTTGTTGATGTATACTAAAAAGAATATATGTTTTATTTGAAAAAAATATTTAAAAATATTGATTTTAGAGACGACTATAAATATCGATTTAAAAGAGACGACTATAAATATCGATTTAAAAGAGACGACTATAAATATCGATTTAAAAGAGACGACTATAAATATCGATTTAAAAGAGACGACTATAAATATCGATTTAAATGAGACGACTATAAATATCGATTTAAAAGAGACGACTATAAATATCGATTTAAAAGAGACGACTATAAATATCGATTTAAAAGAGACGACTATAAATATCGATTTAAAAGAGATGACTATAAATATCGATTTAAAAGAGATGACAACAAATATTGATTCAAAGTTTACACATATTGATTTAACAGATGGCTAATCCAATTAGCAGTAATATTTCTATGCCCATTCAAAATGTTTTTATCCCACATTTATGTGTAGGCACGCAGCACATGGCAAAATGGTTTATGGGCAATGCAAGACACATTGGCCCTGGAAAGATTTGTGAATGATGAGCTATTGAAACTTCATACAACAGCAGGTGTGAAGAAAGATCCTCATGTAAGTATCTTAAAGATAAATACATGGCCATATGTTTATGTAAAATAGTAACACATTCTGTAAGAAATATACCCCTTCAATTAAAAGGGTAAGAACCGAAAAAGAAAGCGGGTATTGTAAACTAGGTTGCAATGTGAAATCTGATATTTTTATGATGTTATGTAAATAACAGGTGCCAAAAAGAATTAAATGGCTACTATTAAAACTAAAGCCGATGACTATTATATTCCTTCGTACACATTATGGTTTCGTTATCAATTTTGATTCATTGATATAATTAAGGTTAACGTTAGAGTTAACGTATTATTTGCTTGTATAAAATGTGATATGATTCTTGTATAATATATGATATGATTTAGCTATGAATGTAATAACATTTAATGCCTAATAAATGTTATGTTGATCTTATTTTTTTAAAATATATTTTATATTGTTTCACAGCTGTCACATATTCTGGAGCATGATTACCTTGACGAGCAGGTAAACAGTATTAGTCAAGTCGCTAATTACATCCGACAACTTGAACGTGTTGGAGACGATGGTCTCGGTGAATATCTCTTCGATAAAAGTTTGGAATAAATTTGTAACTGACTTTCTTATTTTTGACTGAAAATTACGAAAGAAATACAAAAGAGACAACAGAACAACGTCACGTGATGAAATAAAACAAAATGTTAAAACGTATATTTCTGTGACATTTTGCTTGCCTTGAATGTGAATATCAGCTCAAATCTGTAAAATGCGTTGTTTTTTACAATAAAAATTATTGATATATAACTACTGTTGGTTTTGTATTTTGCTGTCTACTTTTTGTACCTGTAGAGGTATTTGCTTATGATAAACATGGAGGTATATACTTTACTAAAATTTTCAAACTCAACTCAAATAGTTCTATTGCATTTAACATACAATATATGTTGTAGTAAGTAGCAACATTACTATAGGCAGAAGACATGCATTTTTCAAACAACATAATAAAACAATTCAATGTGAAACATAAGAAATATCCAATAACCTTATATAAACATATATTAAATGTCATTACCAGTTTAAATGATATTTTTAACGTTCTATTTGTATTTTATCTGGTCTTTTTATGAACAAAAACATGGATATAACCAAGAATATGTCATTTTTAATAAAGTTACTTAAAGTTATTATTCAATGTATAAGTATATAAAGGTGCTGATAGATCGCTGTAGATTTTTTACTGAACGGGTTAATGAAATATTTACGGTGCTTTTGTGCAATTTTAAGTTCCTTACACAACTTGTCAAACAACTCACAATTAGATTCACAATACATATACAAAATTTTATTTAGTATGAAACATAAAACACAGATTTGTAGCAAATACAAAAACAATGTTTACGACAGACATCCCGGTAGAAATACGAGGATAAAAACAGTCATTTGCCGAATTGTTATAAATTGATAGTAATTATTAGCAAAGAACAGTGTAATACAAAAACGAATAATAATAAAAATGGAGCATGCAAAATATATGTGCAATGACATCTTACGTTCGTTGTTGTCTTAATTTTGTACAAAAGCTCGTTTCAAAGCCCAATACTGGATAAAAGTATTTATTCTTTGACACTGTTATGTTTTACCATAGTACCTGTCGGTAATCAATACAAGTATAATTTGATCAAAGAGGTAAAATGACTGATACTAATATATAAAATGAAACATTTTTTTTTATCAAGATACAGACTGTTTTCGGCGAAAAAAGTCCAAGATATTTGATTTTACTCCTCTAAGAAGTTGGAAAAATGAATACACGTGTTATCATGTTAGTAAAGTCGAGCAACGGTTTTCACTTTAGAAAATATATAATACAAATTATATAAATCATCAGAAAAGAGAACCGCCTACATTGAATTTTCAGAAATTTCGAACACAACAGCAGCAACGGTAGTCGCAAACCTGATCTGAGGTGAAACACCGGTAATGTTAAAGATTTGCGTTGAGCGACTGACTCGTTGTTTCCTTATTTAATTGACCCAATAGTCTTAAGAAAAAATAATGCTTATCTTGTATTGAGAATAAATTTAATTAATTTTATGTAATACAGACCATTTGCCTGTATTTTTTCATTTCAAGATTTCAAATACACGTGCTATTTTATTTTTGAATCTTGAATTCACAGTACAGAATATGCTTCTTTATTGATTCATACAGCGTACGTAGGTTATAGATGGCCAAAACATTTTGATGTAAAGTGGAAAAGTTTTGAATACAGGCCATCTTTAATACATGTATTAGTATGGCAATTTGAATAATTATTGTAAGTATCTTTCCTGAAACCAATCATAATCTAAAAATTCTAAGATTTCGCTGTTTAATGCCATGTTATGTCCATAATAATTGTACATGCATATACATCATTTAAAAAGAGAGCAGAATGAATAAAAAATTGTAAATTAGAAAAAAACATCATCCTTGGTTTTATTCTGAGCTTAAATTAAGACCACCGACGCATTTTAGATACCGGTATATGCATAATGTATCATACCGTTTGTATTTTCTGAGATTCCTAAACGATAAAATATGTTATAAGGGCTTTGATGGCGTACCCTCTCTATTTAGGTTCGCAAGGTAAAGGTTTACCTCGAGGTATCTAAGTCTCCTCAATCTAGGTCATTATTATCAATCTGGACCATTGTTAAACTTATATCATCATATCCCGAATATATGTTACTGTCTGTGATAGATAATATGAAATCAAGACAATAAGAAAAGAAAGACTTTATTTCGTAACACACAAAGAAAAATGTGTCTCTTAAATATATATTTAAATTCTTACGAAATAATTATTATATAGACACTTTTAAAAATGCCTTTCTTTTGTAACGGACAGAAGAGCACCCCTTATAATATTATTATATCATTAAATGTCAACGACACTTGTCCTATATAGAAGTTGTCCTTTATCAAGCCCGTCCTATATTATCATTGAACAACATTAAATATTTCATGTACCTATTAGATGAAATTTTTATCATCAAAAGTGTATCAGTTCGAAATAAGATAATCGGAGTTTATCCCTCATCGGTTCATGTATGAAAATATTGTAGAAAGAACACTGCAACCAGCGAATCGTTTTGTTTTAAATGTGAAAAACAAGTATAAGCGAATGGGCGACAATCAAAGAAAACGTAAATCATTGACATAAACTATTTCTTTAATAATTATGAACAGTAGAATTATGTAGTTTCCATAATTAATTTGAACAGAATATGATGTCCAGGAACAAAATAGTATGAGGGTTTTGTATCGTTTCGTGCATGCGCCATTCGCTCTTAAGGAAATTTTCTATACAGATAATCTAGAATTATTCTTTTTAGAAAATAAAACAATACTTTGTAAACTACAGACATGTATAGCTTTATACACTTTTAAAAAGGGCGAAAAAGCAGGATATAGAATCCTTGAAGTAGAAACAAAGAGTTGATATCTAGATTAAACAGATGACATCACGAAATAATGATAATACTTAAGTAAAAGTATTTCAAGTTAGTACAAAATCAAGCTAGAATGAAAACTGAGGTCAACGGATTCCTTTGACCTTAAAATCGCACCACGTATATATTCCGATAATAAATTATCTATAAAATGAGTGTAATCAACCTGTTATCAGTGATTTTAATCATATCATTGCATCGTTACATGTAAATAATTATATAACGCTGGTTTCTATTTATTGACCTTGTTTTCTATATAATTTTATAACACGTAGTCCTGTTTATTTCATTCGGATTTTGTATACATAGATAAAAATCACACAGTCATATAACATATATTACATGTTAGCATACATTTGTAAAATATCAATATGCGGCTGCTTTTTTCTCTGATGGTTAACAAAGCCCAGGGCTCTCGTGGTCAATTTCTACTCATCAAACTCCAAACCGGTGTTAAATAGACAATAAACACGACTGAGACCGATATTATATATTTTAAATAGTTTTACAATCTTTTAAGTTTTTAGAAACTATGATGCTGATTTTCATAACATGATACAAAATTGTCACATTGATATTCTGTAGACGGTAGCTCTATAAAGCCGAGATTGAAATATGTTCTATTGACGATCTTAAAGGTTTCTATATTGAATAATGTTTGCCGCATGAAAGTAAGGCCGGTTAAAAAGAGGAAACAAACAATGTATTTTGTGATGAAATTATTAAAATGAAATCCCTTATATGTAACTAATTCGTATGCTTGTAACAGTAAGTAATTGACAATATCAAATTTCAATTTTTATAAACAGGAATATCAATTTTGATTTTTGAAACTAATTTCTTGACCCATTTCAACACATGCATTTATTTATAATAGATATATAGATTAATGCTGGAGTTTACGTTGACAGTATACAAAACATTTCCAAATGAAAACGTACAATAAGTAAGTTTAAAACACTATGCAAAGTATAATTGTTTATACCTGTCAATAAACACTTTCACACGACCACATAATTTTATCCAACCCCCTAGTTCATTGAATTGTTTGGTTTAAAGTCAACCAATTATACATGTATGATTATTTGGGAGTTATTGATAAACTTAATTATAAAGAATTCAAAAGACCATACCGCGTTCAATCCAAATTGACTGTACTATTGTATTTCAAATATTTATAAAATTTACAACAGGTGAGTTGGGCAATAAAACAATTACTTTTCCAATTACAGGTTTTTCTTTTGTTCAAAAGAAACAATTTTCTAATTTATCCGAAAGAGGTAACAAGGTAAAAATACCCACATTATAAACACAATAGCAATTACCAACTGTGCCGTAATTATATAGTCTGTTTTTTTCCTTTTCATTTGTATAAAATTTATACATTTTGGCACAGTAGTTTGAGAAAAGTAAGTTCACAAACATAAGTTTATATTGATATATATATATTTGCTGACAATAATTTTAACATTTTTTTTCTATAATTCTGAGGATGGAAATTGTCGTTGTGAATCAATCTGTTGTGTTATGAAGATCTATATTAGAATCTTGTCTGTAATATTCAGATGGAGCTGACATTTTCTGCTAGACTTTTCATTTAGTTACAAAATATTTTTGTTACAATCATCTGGATTTCAATATGATTAAGAGGTGTTTGTGAATGACGCACATAAAATCTTTTGGAGATTTAGAATGATACACACTCATCTAGGATGGATAGCTTCGACGACCGGTCAACAGAATACAAATCTGATAGATATTCTGAGATTTACAACAGATTCCTATCTTCTCGAAATGCAACTCCGTTAAGTCGACCAAACTCTAGACAGTGTCCACCAGTAAAATTAGATCCACAACGTTTTATAGCCGAAAATAAACCAAATGATGCTCAAAAGAGAATTGATTCTGCAAGTTTGATTATTACGCCTAGAAGTAGTTCCTCAGCTAATATCCGCTCACAAAGTCGCGGTAGCTCAAGTACAAGATGTTTATCCGCTTCTCGCAAGAGTTCTGCAGCAAACAAACAAAGAAGTAATTCTGCAGTTTATAAAACCGACGAATCAAAAATAAGAGAAGAAGCAGATAATTTCTATAACATCGAAGAAGAAGTTGTGAAAGGAAATCGAATTGCAATTCCATTAGTAAATACTTCTACATTTGATGATATTCTAACACCAATAAAGGAGATACAAACCGAACAAAGTAACACAACAAAAACAGACTGTTCTATATATCCTGAAAATGGATTGCTAATGAATTCACCTAGATGTGTTGACAGAAGCAATATCTTGTCCAGAGGGTCTCACTTAATGCTAGGATCTGGACGAATTAGAAAATCGAATGACACAGAAACGCTGGAATTACACATTGATGACTCTGAATTCTCCGAATTGCAAGAACAAATAACATCTCATGTGGTCAGCGTTACCATTGGGACCAGCGCGGCGAACACACCTGCATGTACTTTAAAAGAAGGCAAAATGTCGCCTAGACCTTTTGAAGTAATACTCCCGAAAACGTATATCACTAAATCGGGTTCACTACTTTTATACAGTAACAGCAAACTTATGAAAAGTACGGACACTCAAAATGACGAAAAGGAAATGAAAGTAAAAGGAAAAAAGTTGTCACCGAGGACACTTGTACCACAGGCCTATCCATACTGGGGAAAACACGTCAACAGGGGGACACTATCAAGGAATACAGACAATAATCATGCTCAAGGTATTGTCTATGTATCTGTTCAGCAATTGCATTTTGGCTACATTATTAGTCTACATTCTATTATATACCTACAGTTATTATCACTTACATAAAGAAAGACCATTTTAGAATGTACACATCTTAATAATAAAGTATTATTATTGTACATGCGTGTTTGCAAAACAATTTTATTTTGCAAAACAATTATAAATTTCCTTGTTTTTTTTTTGATGCATTTTTTCTAAACAAAATTTAATCTAAAAGAATTAACTAATTTTTAACTAATTACGACAGATAGCATTGCATATCTCCCGTTTTAGTGCAAACAGGCTAATGACAGTTGTAACTACATGTGTTAGTGAAACCTTCCTTATGCTCGTAACATATTCATTTGTATTGAAGACCGTTGCTATTTTTGTTTTAAATCAGTGTCAGCCAGCTTCTCTAATGAAAATGTTATTTTATGTCTATTTAAGGGTGGATTAAACGGAATCAGCGTAATTATATCGGCACAAACAAACCAAACGCTGACAAAAAACCATACACGTGGGACTATACTGTGCTGCCCGCCAAACTTATAAATGACGGCGACAAGGAAGGGATTAAAACTGTAAGTAATTTATCAGAGGCCGTCCTGGCGTACCAGAGCACATTACCTTCCGCTAAAGATAAATACCTCGCTGTGATGCAACAATCACGTTCCGGCGGAAAAACACAAGCGGAGAGAATGAATGAGCTGCAAGCAATGCAACTTCAACGTCTTTCAAAGTGGACCCGAGAGTGGGTTGGTATGCATGGTCATGTTCTGTTTAAGAATACAGATAAAGTAGTTAAAGAGACTGAGACCGACAATGTTTTGATTAAAAGGATACGCAAGTCTTTGAAAAAGTATGTCATAACACCGGCGAACACACCATCAATGGGTACTAAACATACTTATGTCCACAGTTTAAATAAAAAGGAATTTGAAAAGTTGTTAACAACTACTCCCAGAGGTATTGAAGTTGCTGATGAGAAAGCTTTGTCGAAATAGCAGTGATCTGAAATAGCTTGTATTTTAGTTAAGCTTCAGTCAATGATTTTATGACCTTTATAAAATATCTAACAATCTTTATAACCGGTGCCAGGACTTGTAATTGTTACCTTTAAATGAATATTTCTGTGACTTTTTTGTATATAAATGATATGTGATAACGTTGTTTAAACAGTGTTTAATTCTTTTGTTTTTCTGTTTTTTTGATTAACGTGAATGTAAGTACCTGTCTGTATTTGATACGATTCCACTACTGTAAATATCATTTTGCGATATCAAATGCTAAACTTTGTTTCACAGCAGATTGCCTTAAAGGGGATTATATGTTTTTAAAGATCCTGTATGTTTTGTGATTGATATTGTTACTGTGTGTATACCACACTTGCAACGATTATATATGTATATAATTATGCAAATAAAACAATTTTCAAACATTGAAGAATATGTAAAATGTGTACTGCAAATATTTGTGCACAATATATTTAATCAATAAATTACATGCATTTATTTCTTATTGGAAAATTTGACTTAGAACTTAAAGAAAATTAATTTCTAATTACCTCCCTTTATTTACATGAAATGCTAAATTGGGAAATATTTTTATAAAAAATGTTTATTGAACTTACAATATTGACAAATCTTAACCTGAGCATCATATTTATGAAATAAAACCATGAAAAAAATGTGTTACAGGATCTTTAAATATGATTGGCAAATACTATTACTCCCGTTTGGATACCGGTTTATGAGGACAATAATTTAATACAAAACAACAACAACAACAACAACAACAACACAGATACTTCGAAGTTTTCATTGAAAACATTATATTTTCACAATAACTTACGTATAGATTTAAAGTGGATGTTAATAATGTACGGCTGAATATTTCACAGAGTCAGGTAAAAGTAGAGAAAGAAACATTGATACTCAATAAAAACATCATTTCTTTATTATGTAGCTGTAAGGAAAAACATAACTATTCGTCTTACATGAATGAGCTGAACATTTAAACAAACGTTAAAGTCTCCTCAAAATAGTTTTTTTTTCGTTTTAGATATCGTTCTAATACTATTACTAGCAATAATGAAACTTATACTATTTAATTTATTAGAACAGCACAAGGTAGTACTAAAATTATGCTAATTATGTTATTTTGATACAGACCGTAAGGTCGAAACGTTTAAAGAATATTTAGATACACTAGAGTTTTGTTAACAGATTAAAATCCCTGCGAATTACACCAGAGATAGTTTATACTATTTCATTGTATCTTGTTCATTTTTGTTTGTTTTACAAGTCATTATCAAACACATATTCTCCCAATCCGTAGTTCTCCCCCATCATTTTAGACAGATTCGCTATATGGTCGGATATTTCTTTGATGATATCAACTTGTGGATCCAAATATTTGTCCTCAATTATATGTGTCATCTGGAAAAAAAGATATTCATATATAAATGAAGTTTTTGTGTTTTTTTTTCAATTCAAGACAATTTAGTTAATATGGCACCGAAACAAGAAAGATGATTTTGGCTAACTTCAGATGTTACAAAATTAAACCACCTCATCTGCTGGAGCTAAGAGATGCATAGATTCCAATAATAAGGACCTATTTAGTCGCCTTTTACAATCACACAGGGTTAAACGGTGGTTGCAATTTGATGCATTTGATGAAAATATCTCTTAATAAGTTCCAGCAACACACGACCATTGGCAAGGACACCAAAACCTACTTTGATTATATCAATTCTTGTAACCAAAATGCAAAATTTGCTCAGATATTTGTAACTTTCCACTTACATGAGGATCATCATATTTCGAAGCCTTTCTATGTAGACTTAATAATCTATCAGTTAACGACTTTTCAATTTCAAATGCAGAATACATCGCATCTAGACCGTCAAGCCAATGTGTTTTTGTTGGTCCCTAAAATATAGATATTATGTATATTGAAACATTTGTTTGTTTGAGTATAAGAGCGGAATACATTTCTACAATTAAATTTATATACCAAATGTAGCGTTTTAACATTTCAACCAATTGTATAGACAGCTGGTGCTACAAAGTTGGAACCCAAGGGTCCTGACTCCGCCCAACTACATTCTATAAATAACAAATGGGCCTGGGTCATGAAAATGAATGAAAAATTAGTAATGCTACCTATGTGTGTCACGTAGCATTTGATGTTCTCTCCTCTTTTTGATATAAAAGCGGTCACGTGGCAATGTTTACAATGAAAACTATTCCATGTTTTAACTCAACTTAAAAGCTTGTTCATTTTCATGACAAAATGCAAGACATTTTTAATGTTTTTATTATTCTTATGATAACGATCATATTTGCCGAAATTTCAAATTATATATGCGGGGATAATGCCACATTTGTTACTTTTGCACGAGTTTCAGAATTTTTGATAGAACATTCCCAGATTGAGCTCAATATGATACGAACATATACTTCCGTCATGTAGCTGTTAATATTGTAAATCATGTACTCACATTGCAGTTGTGTCATTTTAACATAAAATATAATGTTAAATACCACAGAATAGTACAAAATAGTAAAAATAATTATGATATATTATAAAAATATTAACAATTTTATTATGAAGAAAGTTTTTTTTATAATTTTTTATAATTAATTACATGTCTCACAATTTTGATATTTGTATACTTCGCAAGCATTTATAACATTATAAAATTGTATTAATTAACAAATCATAATCAGAATAAATACAAACCACAGTACAAGCAAAATGAATACCTAAAAAACGCCCAAGGCTTATGAAATATAGATCTGAGTCACTACAACAATGTTTAATCGACTAAAATATTATACAATTCCTAATTTTAAAATAGATATATAGTTGTTTAATACCCTGAAATGATAAATCACCCAGTATTGTAAATGTTTTAATTACCTCAACGTTTCTAAATTCCACATATCCACCTCTTTTGTTGAGGTATGCCATGAGGAAATTGGCATGTTCAAGCTCTCTTTCCGACAACTTGCGGAAATATTTTGAAAACCCTGGTAACGCTACATCAGCTCTTCCAAAGTAAGTAGACTGAAAAAAGCAAACAATGACTTTTATTTCTTCTGTTGTTTTAAAGGCATAACCGCTACATTCGACATTAGAGCAAATAGTTAAAGCACAGCATAACAGCATTTTTTCATTTTTTTTAATTGAAGAAAAAGGAACAATGTAAATGTCTTAAGCCATATTTTCATTACAAAAATATCATTGTTAAGAAAAAGAAGCGTTTGTTAACAAGAGAATGATAAATACAGAGCTGCATATTACATTTATTATAAGATTAAATAACGATAATGTGGTAAACAATAAGTTATTATTAAATGTAAATCATGGTAAATAGAATCTTCAAAGGCGCTACAATGTTATGTCAACTTACCATGTAAAGGAACCTGTAACTTGCACTCACGAGGTCGTTGAGAAGTCTTTTGTTGATTGAGACGAGCAAATTTTCGTTTAGATTTTGCGAAACTACTGACACTGTTTTAAAAAAGAAAGGAATAATATATATATTTACTGAAAAGATCTTACAATGATATGATAACAGAATAAACAAAATGCTGACTATATTAATAGTATAATAAGGTGTTCAGGTAAATGAAAAATAATTTAGCTAAATGATAGCACTCAAATTGTAAAAAGTACAATTGACAGAAAAATCTGGATTATAATGACGTCATTGAAAAGCAGGGAAAAACACAATAAAAGAAATCATGTGCCATCTTATGATTCATCATGCATTGTATAAAAATTATTTATTCATATACCTGTGTTGCTTTTACGACCTGTAAACGGTATTGTATATATTTAGGAAAAAATATATCAATATTGATTGCGTTGCCGTACAATAACGCACTGTTTGAGTTTATATGTGCAGGAATATTAATAACAAAGCATTTGAACGTTAAACCAGGCAGTATGAAAATACAACGCAAGAACAAAATCCATTCTAACATGATTGAGAAAATATGTTGAACTCCATTAAGCGTAGAAGTAATTTTCCTGATGTCATTTTGGATTAGCCAAATACTCGAATAATATATGTTTTTATCAAACTCGTGAAATAAATTAAGTATTGAATGTACGCTCATTCAATGTCCCTACTGTATGTTTTATCATGCAACTGTTATGGTAAATGCCCGATAACACTTGCCTGATAATTATTTTTGATATCAGGTCAGTAACCTGATATCAAAAATAAGCCCCGCCCATTTCTAACGGACTTTTTTCAATTGCTTATATTCTCATTTTCATCAGCATGTGAATCTACAATGTCATTGCATACCCTTACAAGTCTTAAATCAAGATGCGATATTTATTTATTATTTCGATTTCAATTACGAATAAATTAGATAACGAATAGGTTTAACACCAACTAAATGAAGTGACGTCATAATTTATATTGCAAATGACATCATCAAAGTTCACGTCATACTATACATGTAAACATAACAAACAGGCTTGACGATTTTCTTTGAGAACTTGTGATTGTTTACTTTATTTTGCCGGATTATTAAATAAGTGAACAAATTGTTTCGTTTAAAAAAATAAGACGCATCTTTGTGAAGCTTGTGTTTGATTGCAAATTGGACTTTTGTTTGATTGAAATTATCGTGAACTTTTGAATTTTACAATTTAAGACAAAAAGTGCAGTAATTTGAGTAAAGTTTATGTGATTCTAAGGGATTTTTTGGATCACTGTTTTAATTAAAGGTAAGAATTTTATCATGTTAGACCTACATTCTGTTTTATCTTTTATCGGAGTCGAAAGAAAAAATGGCCGCCATTTTATTTACAAATTCTAAGTTTCAGGGGCGGAGGAATTTGTTTTCAAGAATTATTTCTTTGAACAAAAATCCCCTTTTTTACGAAATTCGCTATTTAAAAGTAGATTATTTTGTTATTTTGACAGTTTTTATGTGTTACATGATAAATAGAAAAACATGCTACTGTCTTTTGATATCAATTTTATCAGGCTCGGCTGATATGGGCAGAAAGGGCTCGGCAAGCCTCGCCCTTTCTAGCCCATATCAGCCTCGCCTGATAAAATTGATATCAAAAGACAGTAGCATGTTATTCTCTATTTATACATTTTTGAAAACTTATTCTTAAAACATTAATTAATCTTAAACGTTTAAAATAACAAGTAGTATTTTTATCAAATGACAACTCACATAAATGTATTCAATACTAAAATATGTTGTTTAATGACAATATTTAAATACATCTAACACATTAAACTGAAAATAAAAAAAATCATTTACCTGATTTGTCGTCTTTCGTTTGTAACGATTTACTTTGTTGTGCTCCAGAAACTTCTAAAACACCTGGTACTATAACCATGGAAACCAGAAGGCTTCCAATGAAAAACAGGAATGAAAACGTAGCATGTCGATTGGCCTGCATCTTGCTTCAGTATTTAACTTTCTATAGTTAGTGTTGAAACTTATTGTTATCTACAGTGGTCATAATAAATATGCTACTTGCAACTACGAAAGTGTGGCTAGAGATAACATTTTAAAAATAGAAATACCACCATTTTCACAAGTTTCAAAAGGTTTTTTTTAGTGGAATTAGTCGACATAGAGATGTGTCTTCGATATGAAATTTAGGATACTTTTATTATTTCTTTTACGTTTGCTCTTAGCCTAACTTTTGTTCGATAGTTTATAATACATGTAAGTTATGTTTCGTAATATTCGAATAGGTCGATTATCTACCAGGTTTTATCAAATCTTTACGATAGCTGATATTATTATACAAAATCAACAAAAGAGAGACAACTCTTTATTTTGTTTTTATTAGCTAATAGCTATACATTTTTTTACATTTACCAAGCTGTAGCATTTATTTGGAAAAAGTAAAATATGATTGTTAAGCGTATGAAAAGAGATAAACTATTATCACAAAATGCAGATATACAATTTCTATATAATTTCGCAAGATTGCTCCTAGAAGAAAATACTACATGAAAATGGTATGAAGATTAATACAAAACGTGACTTAACAAAACAGTTCATTAATAAAAAAACGAATGCCGTCGTAACAATTCCAATTATACAATAATTTAATATTTAGAGAATATTGAATGAGTGTCAGTTCAATACTGAATTTATTGAACGAGTTGAATAAAATTATATAATGCAGGCCTCTGGCAAGCCGAATATTATTTTATTTAACGAGTTCAATAAATTTAGTAATGCACCTACACGAATATAATATATCCTTTTCATGACAGAACTAAAATACTGTTTAAAGTGAAAAAGAATCATATTTCATTGACGCATTTATAGTGTAACGCTAATATTTAGCGCGTCTTCACAATATGTTTGTTTAACGCAAATGACGTAATATCAAAATATATGCACGGCCGTGCATTTTTACCATTTTATTTCGCAAAAGCGTCACGGGAAAATTCACTTACTGTTTGTATAACATTTTTACACGGAATGATGAAATAATATTTGACATAATTAAACAATAGAAGAATATGATTTAGTTTAGGCTATGTACAAAGTAAGTAATATACAAACTAATTCAAATAGTTAACCTTCCTTATTCCTAAAATAGTTTTTTTTTCACAAGCTGTTTTATGTGATTATGGATAGATGGGGAAATTAGAAAAAAAAACTTAAAATGGTTTATAATTTGATTCCAAGGAGAATGACTTGCTTTCATATTAACTGGTCTATGGGCGGGTCTGATTTTGACAGCCAATTTGTCGGAATTTCGATGCAGAGCTGCAACGCCAGTCTTTATGAGTTGAACTATTAATATACACATGCATAACTATCACATTATTCTTTATAGAAAACACTATTTTTAAATTTCTTATACCTTAAAATGTACATAAAAAAGCAAACATATCTGACCACTGTTTACAGCCAAAACAATCAAACACCATTTTTTTCAATAAAAATATATACAGAATATCTTTTCACGTATATGCAATACGCCACGGTTCTACACATATTATAAACAAACCAAACAAAGCACATTTTTAAAAAACAAAGCATCATCTAAGACCATCTTGACAAAAATCACGCAAATAATTATATTCAACAAATCAAGTACGTCCAGCAATATCACCACCACGAAAATAATAGTTTAGATCACAGTAAAGAAGCAAATAAGCAAAGGATCATAATAAAGCTACAAAACTCCCTTCAATACAATAATATTCACTGCTCAAATGTAAAACGCTATACGCTCCCACAGTGTCTCCCCTAACTTGAAGTAAATATTCCCCCAAAATTCATAAGGATTGACATTAGAAATGAATAAAGTAGATAGTTTACCTACATAACGAGCAGCTTCAGTTTGGAAAGCATATATAGTAATTTTTTATCACAATACGTACAATAAACGTCTAACAACGTATCGCTGTACAAGAGTACAAGAATTAAGATAAAAACGACATCATACCTCACCATAGAACAAAAAACAACTGAAATACAAAAATAATCCACGCTCTTTTACCTTTTTACCCAATCATTTTATCTACAGTATAAAGACTTTTAAGTCATGATATATAAAAATATAAATTATATAAAGATTTTTTTTAATTCTTGTTTATATTCAATATATATGATTTAATAGTCTAGGCAATGTTATCTGAAAAATATACTTGTAAAACGATAAATGAGTAAATTGTTCTTTTCAAAATTTGTATCCAGAAAATTTGGAATAATCTTCAGTTTTCGTGTGCTTCAATTTGTAATAACCAACACTCTGATCATTGTCAGCAAATTTAACATAACCATCAGCATCTCTAGGTAGTTCAACATCGTTAACCGGATTTATGTAATCAGCAACGTCAGTCATGGTATTTTCCTTAATTCCATCGTAAACATCCTCGATGTATTGCCCTTCTTCCATTTCTGTTTGTACGGCTTCAACTTCTTTAGTGTTTTGCAAACCTCCTTTACCACTATTACTAGAATAGAAGATTTGGTACATAATTAACAGTTACATCGAAAAGTTGAACATTCTGTTTATAAATGTTTATAGCAAAATCAATTATCAAAGTATGTTTTTTTTATTTTTCTAATAAAATATGAATTGTAAAATTACTTACAGTACATTCGAAGCGTCCGATTCTGAAAGACATCAACGAATTCGTTAGAATATGTGTTACTACAAGAAATAATTTATCTACAGATATGGTATCAAATACTTGAATATATTTTGTTTTGGACTTATCGTTAGAAATGTATTAAAATAATTTATCAATTTCATTGTTTATCATCACATGATTTACAAGAAATGTGTTATTTCTTTGAATATCCATATGGCAAAACCATTAAAGGCAATTCTTAAGTCTTTGAACTCGGTGCATAGAATTATTCGCTGGAATCATGTTATCTTTGACATTAAAATGCAAACCTTAGAAAAGAGAATTTAAGTAAGAGGACAGTTTGTTTTTAATGCATATTTTGATTGTTAAATGACAACTTACTAGTCTTTTTATGTTTTCTTCTATACCTTAAACAGCAGCATACAGTAGCGAGAACAACAATTGATAAAACGCAAATTAAAGATATCAGTACAACTATCAATGTTGTTTGATCTCCAACTTGTTGTTGATCTCCAACTTCTGGAAACACAAAAAAGTTTTAATCAGACATTACCTCTGTAGTGAAAATCCTTTCAAACATTTTTGACTCATTCAAATAAGAATTAGTATTTTCAAGGGTCATGAATTTGTATGGAAATTACATCAATAAAATCTTTAAAGTTTGTATAGTTTGTATATGTTGTTATAACCATACCATACTGACATCTATACCCCTCGTATCCATCAGCACAAAAACATACGAATCCATTGATTTCGTTTAAACACGCACCATTGTTCTCGCATGGCTGATTCAAACATTCGTCTATATCTATATGAAAAACAAAAATATGTTCAATATTATCATTTATATCATCAGTCACTGATAATTAAACTTTCGTGATAAAGTATCAAGAAATCCCTTAGAGCCCGTCTACACCTATCCAAGTCTTGAAAGCAAGTATAATATTCTCTTGTATTGGATAGTGTAGACACCCTACTTGAGAGAGTTTTAAAGAGAAATTATGTGACATCCAAGAAGATAATTCCTTGCAAGAAAGTTAGAACACGTTCTATTTTTCTACAAGTTTTTGGCTGTCAAGACACTGATAACACCGGTTTGACACAAAACATGTGCCCGGAGGTTTGATAGTGCTGTTATTTTTATTATTTTCTGACTTTTTGTTGTTGATTCAGTGTACATGCCCTTTGAATTTCAGTAAATGATTACAATGTCTTGGTCAAAGGAACAAACCAATACGCTGATACACAGAAGAGCAAAAAAATAAATAAATAAATAAATAAAAATAATTTACATTGTAAAAAAATAAAAAAGAGCTCTTTTTCAAGTAAAGTCAAAATGGATTTAAAATGATCTTGTTCATTTAGTGAATAACTTTCCTCAAATTAAGAATTTGCATCAAAATAATTTTTTGTCACATATTTTCAATTTTAAAAAAGAATGAACGGATTTCATTAACTCCATTCTGTTTTAGCTAATTGCATCATTTTCCCGCTTTTTTTTCACATATTTTACAGAAACATGATAGTCTTGCAAAGACAAAGGTATAAATCCTGGGCTATCTTAATGAGACATTTCAGTAAAAATTGTGCCTGAAAAAATGTTGAAAGGGCCATTTATTTAGCTTATCTAAATGTGACATGTAAGAAACTTGAATAGGTGTAGACACGGCTTTAGATGAAATTGCGCGTGCAAGAAGATGCAAGAAGAACTTCACCATGAAATCTTTTATATTTAATATTTGAAATGTAATTTAAAAGAACGCTGAGCAATGAACGTAGAAAATAATCTCTTAAAATCTAAAGCATTGTTTTTTCTACATAACTGAGTTATAATAGGGGAGTATTTTATTCTGGCCACTCATTCCAATAAGAATTAGTTTTTCCAAGGGTCATGAATTTGTATGAAAATTACATCAACAAAATCTTTAAAGTTTGTATAGTTTGTATATGTTGTTATAACCATACCATACTGACATCTATATCCCTCGTATCCATCAGCACAAAAACATACGAATCCATTCATTGCGTTTAAACACGCACCATTGTTCTCGCATGGCTGATTCAAACATTCGTCTATATCTATATGAAAAACAAAAATATGTTTCCATATTATCATTTATATCATGAGTCACTGATAATTAAACTTTCGTGATAAAGTATCAAGAAATCCTTAGATGAAATTGCGCGTTCAAGAACAACTTCACCATGAAATTTTTAATATTTAATATTTGAAATGTAATTTAAAAGAACGCTGAGCAATGAACGTAGAAAATAATCTCTTAAAATCTAAAGCATTGTTTTCTCTACATAACTGAGTTATAATAGGGGAGTATTTTATTCTGGCCACTCATTCCAATAAGAATTAGTTTTTCCAAGGGTCATGGATTTGTATGAAAATTACATCAATAAAATCTTTAAAGTTTGTATAGTTTGTATATGTTGTTATAACCATACCATTCTGACATCTATATCCCTCGTATCCATCAGCACAAAAACATACGAATCCATTGATTTCGTTTACACACTCACCATTGTTCTCACATGGCTGATACAAACATTCGTCTATATCTATATATAAAAACGAACATATGTTTCAATATTATTATTTATATCAGGAGTCACTGATAATTAAACTTTCGTCATAAAGTATCAAGAACATCCTTAGATGAAATTGCGCGTGCAAGAACAACTCACTTCACCATGAAATCTTTGATATTTAATATTTGAAATGTAATTTAAAAGAACGCTGAACAATGAACGTAGAAAATAATCTTTTAAAATCTAAAACAATATTTTCTCTAATGCATAATTGAGTTATAACAGGGGAGTATTTTATTCTGGGCTCGAGTGAATTTTAATAGGATAGGATCCTAAAAGGTGGTGTAGCGCACCTAGTGTGATCCGACCTAGTAATATCCACGAGAGCCAAATACACGTTCCAGAGTATAGGACCTGGTCGTATTTAAATCTGGAAACAAAGTGATCCCTCGGAAACATTAATCACAACAAAATTACACTAAAAATTGCAGACTTGGTTTGATTGAGTCTTAAACCATTATCAACCATAACGTGATTGCGGAAACATCAGAAACGGCATAAATAAAAGTATAATACAGCTTTAGGTCGGGTCGTATTTGATATATGCATAGAATATATATATAAAAGAAGTATACAGGTATATGAAAATAAAGTACATAGAAGGGGAGCCAAAGTACACATATGTGCCAAAATGGTAAATTATATGCACCCCGAAGATAACATTTAAAAAACACTTGAATTTTTCAAGTACATGTATTACATCCAACTCTTGATGTAATTACAACTATAGTAAAATAATTATCGTTTTCTAAATGTTAACATTTTTCCCATATTTTATTTGCATTGTAAATCTGTTGTACTTTATTTATAATCTATTTGAGTCCGATTGTTTATGAAGCTATAAGTTTATAAGCTTTCCCGAATCCGTTCCTGGAAGCAGTCAGTACTGAGCATTTATTGTAAAAAGTGAAAGTTACCGAAAATAACATCTTTTAAAAATGCATAAAAGTTTTCACGTCTCACGGACGTCTGTTTTCAAAAAAAATAGGAAGATAATTTCAGTTGCTTTTCTGGAATATTTATGATAATCTCATTGGGCCTAAAAATCAAATGACACTAGAAATGTGTCATCATGCCACAGATGCCAAAAATTTCAGATGTTTAATATTTAGTTCCAATAATATTTAGTTCCAAATTCGTTTGCACAAATTATTTTTTTCATTTTAAGTTCAAAGCCCTTAAAACTATTTAATGTTAACACTACCCATTTTTTATACAAAGTTCAAGGCACTGAAACTATTCAGTATTAACCTTTTTGTAAATTACATATGATGCATATCTGTAGCCAAAATAATGGGCACATACATTTCCACAAAGGTATGAGTGCTGAAACTGAAAATTCAAATTTTTTCCAACATTCAAGAAAGATAACTTTGTCCAAAATCATTGAACCACGACCAAATTCAAACTTGAACTGCTTATTCCTAAGATGTATCTATATGTCAAATTTGAGTTGAATGTGTACAACTATTGGGGAGATAATGAACGGAAACTTAAAATTTATGACTTTTTTTTAAAGAGGGATAACTGTGTCAGCTATCATCAAACCATGTCGAAATTCAATCTTGACAAATGTTTTCTTATGACATATCCATGTTTTTAATTTGTTGCTGAATATGTACAACTGTTGGGGAGATAATGAATATGAACTAAAAATTACCTTTTTTCAAAGTTAAAGGAGCATTACTCTGCCAAAAAGCATCGAACCATGACCAAATTCGATCTTTACCTGTGCATTCCTTTGACATATCCATATGTAAAATTTGAGTTGAATATACAACACTGTTGGGGAGATAATGAACAGAAACTGAAAATTTCATATTATTTTCAAAGTGAAAGGGGCATTACTCTGCCAAAAATTATTGAACCATAACCCAATTCAAACTTGGCCGGCACATTCTTTTAACGTATCAATATGTAAAATTTGAGTTGAATGTTTAATACTGTTGGGGAGATAATGAACGGAAACTGAAAATTTCATATTGTTTTCAAAGTGACAGGGGCATAACTCTGCTAAAAACCATGGAACCATTACCAAATTCGAACTTGACCTGCGCATGCCTTTGAAATATCCAGATGTCAAAATTGAGTTGAATATGTAACACTATTGGTGAGATAATGAACAGAAACTGAAAATTCATATTATAGTGGGGCGGGAAATAAGGTCTCTGCTGTCAAAATAGTGCAAATTGTGATACAAGCATGAAACTTTCAGGAAATTATCTTTAGACCATGTAGATTTCAAAAGTGAAGTGGGCCCAAAAATATCTCTGCTCATTCAAGATGGCCGCTATTTTCAAGATGGCCGCCATATAAATTTGATGTACATAATAGATCATTCATTCCAATTTTTTGTACAGACCTGAAACTTACAACAAAGCATGCATATAGTTTCCCCTTTTCAAAAATTTAAATCTTTAAGCAATTTCTCTTGCATATTTCTTCAGAATCCAAGATGGCGTCCAATATGGCTGCCAATTTGAATGAAAACTGATATATCTCTTTTGTAGTATAATTTTTTGCACACGGTATGCGTATTTCCATATAAAATTGTTAACTATATTAGAAAAAATATCAAATTTTAGGTTAACCACATTGTTAGTCATGTTTTTAGTTTTTTGTACAAAAAAAATCTTTAAACAAATCAAAGAAAAAGTGCCATTTTTTCATTTTTCTCTAACATGGTTTTCTAGGTCTATGTACAAAATTCCAAAAGTTACATAGTTTCTTAAAGTGTATTTGATATTCAATCAACACTATGTTTTATTGTATAATTGTAACAAAAACAAACAAAAATGTGAAGGTTATATACTTATTAAAAGTGGGTGGGGTAAATCTATCAGTCAATTGTAGTACAAAATAACGTTTTTAAGAATTCTTATGCAAATATTCACTGTAAAAGTATTTTATTGTATTAAGGTATTTTTGTTTTCCTTCAGGTCTAGAGGCTGTACTAAAATATCAATAAATACAGGTACAATCATATGTATACATTCAGTTATTAAATGTATTTGCATGATATAAGTTGTTTCAATAGTCATAATATAACTTGATAATTGTACAGAAAGAAGACTGAATATTCATTAACGAACCATATGTTAGATAAAATCATGCCTGGACCTTAGTGAAATGTTGTCTATTTATGAATACAATTATTTCCTGCACAATTTAGTCTTGCTAAAAGCTTGTAACAGAATGATTCAAAGTTAAATTTACTTGCACATCATTGTAACCAAGTATAATTGAATAAGTACCGTCCATTTCTAATAACTTATGTAGACATGATATTTTCAAAAGAAACAAAAATTTAGGCGACTGATACATCATATTATCTAATAACTAGGTGTGCTAAAATAGGTATCAATAAAACCGCTTGACTCACATAACAAACATAGCTTATACTTTGGAATATAAACTAAATGTGTTCCTACTTTATTTTTCCCATAAAACAAGAGAGCATTGTTGACCCTAGATCACGCGCCTAAGACCCACTGCTGCAAAAGGTCTATAATTCTTTTATACTGAAGAATGCTAAAATCATATAAGGAGTATCTTTTTTTCGCCAGCATGATTTAAAGAATCATGTCCAATAACTAGGCTCTCAGAACTACAAGAAGACTCATATAACTATATTCCAGTAAGAGTCCATGTCAACTAAGTGATTTTGACCCTATGCCAATTGTTTATAATCTTTATATAGCATCACAATGTTATGATATACGATATTTTCTCTTCTCTGTGCAAATAGTTTCGGAGAAGAATTTTAATATATAAGTCAATGTAAACTAAGTGACAGGGAAAGCCATTTTGGACTGCAGGAACATGATTTAAAGGCCCTCACGAGGAACACAGTTTTTAAAGACTTGTGTAGGGAATCGCATTGAAGTTATTTTGTTGTTGATGTTATTAAAAAAAATCAACAAACAAACAAACTGTAATGCCTAGAGCTTAGATAGTCAAAATATAACCTTGCCAAATAAAGAAGACCTCTTTAAAAGTTACATAAAACACTTTTGTATCATTAAGTGTACATGCAATAAAAAAATCTTCTCAAAAATCAAAATGCACAGAGCACTGGTACTAAGCTGGCATGTATCACCACCTTGAGTCTACACATTTAATGAATCATGCTCATAGAGCCACCTTGGTTCACAGACTTGTATAGGAAAACACATTAAAAACATCTAGTGTTAAACTTCATTGACTTGAAATAAGATATTTGGGATGTAGACTGATATAACATGCATAAATTTGTATGATGCTACTGCAGTCTAAAATGGTTTTGCAATGGTATCACTTAATTTACAAAGACTACTGTAATAAATATGTTTTCTCTTAACCTACACTATCCGACGCATATACATTAATCATATATCATCATAATTATGTTATAATAATGATATATCATGGACAACATGGTCCAAATTTACCGAACACAAAAGGTCACTAAGTTTATATGGACTCGTATATAGATATGGTTATTAAAGTTCTCTCGTGTGAAATAAAAAATTGAAAGCAGATATTGAGCATGTTTCTTTAAAAGCAACCGGATTCAATTATGACACAAATCATGTGTGTTATGACATAATTGACACTCCCAAAATGATCTTGTTACCTTTTTTCCAACAATGATCTTAGGTGAGTGATCCAGGGTCATCATTACCCTCTTATTGAAAGAAAAAAAAAAGATATGATTACTTTAGGAAATACTAGTACACTTAGTAAACGTTTGTATCTTAACTTTTCAAAAAGTTGCATGCAGGCCAGGCCATATCATTGATATATATGTTTCACATCACATACATTTTGTTGGCTTTTAAGCCATGTTTATATTATAAATATAAAATTGTGGAGGAGTCAAAAATATGCGTTTATAGACTACCTTTATACCTTACATTCAAGTACATGTTTGCTATTTTAAGCACGTTTAGTTGATTTATTGTCTTCTTATATGTCTTTACGATTAACAATTAATATATGATATCAAATATATTGAAACAAGAATTATCATGCAACCAAATTTAATAACTGAATGTATACACATGTTTGTATGTGCATTTCTTGCTCACCCACCAAATGGCCGGAAGGAAGACAAAAATACTTTAATCTAATAAAAAGTACTTTTTAAGTTGGAACATTGGCATAAGAATTCATAGAAAAGTAAAAAGGCAAAGAAGTAGAATGAACTTAGCTATGTAGATTTTCTGTTGTTTTTTCTTTAACAATTATCATATAAAACTACCCCACCCACTTTCACAAAATATAAAACCTACAGATTTAATGCTTTTTTTACATTCTTTACAATAAACATATAATATTAATGGAATGTCAAATACAGTTTAAGATATAAAGTAACTTTTTTAACTTTGTACATTACTTTAGAAAATCAAATTTGAAAAATATGAAAAAAATGGAATTTTTTCTTGATCTTTTTTAAAGATATTTTTAGACAAAAACTTTTTAAATGTTTACTTTTATTGAGATTTACATATAATTTGATTATCTCTGATATGTTTAAACACTTTTTTTTATCATAATAAACATAATTTGTGCAACAAATTATACTATAAAAATGATATAACAGTTTTGCACAAAATCGACGGCCATATTGGACGCCATCTTGGATTTGGAAGAAGTATGAAAGAGAAATTTTGTGAGATTTAAATTTTTGAAAAGGAGAAATTATATGCATGCTTTTGATGTGAGTTAAAGGTCTGTACAAAAAATTGGAATGAATGAGCTAGAATGTACTCAAATTTATATGGCGGCCATTTTGAAAATGGCGGCCATCTTGAATGAGCAGAGATATTTTTGGGCCCACTTCACTTTTGAAATCTACATGGTCTAAAGATGATTTCCTGAAAGTTTCATGCTTGTATCACAATTTGCACTATTTTCTCAATTTCCCGTCCCACTATTATTTTCAAAGTGAAAGGGGCATTTCTCTGCCAAAAATCATTGAACCATAACCCAATTCAAACTTGGCCTGCACATTCTTTTAAAATATGATAAACAAGATCAAGAAGGAAAGGCGGCGTTCAATGAACGCAACCCCCATATGACCCAGCAATAAGAACTAGTGGCAAGGAGCCCAGGCGGACCCAAAACAAAAACAGGACAGGGCAAAGAAAGAGCACGGACAGGTTAATCATTAAATGACAAATAATTTGTAACTGATTAGGAATTCAAAGAAAAGAATAATAGGCCCACAGAGGGGAAGGGACAGGAGACCGGGGGAAGGAGGAGGGGGGGGGGGGTAATCAAAGAAATAAAAACTAGAGGTAATGGAGAAGATACTTACCGTAGACGAGAAAACAACAAGGGACACAAGCAAAAGTGTCACCAAAACAGTATGAAACAACATAGACATACATCTGAGGAACACAGAGGGGCGCCGCCTTGGAACGGTCAGCAGCATAATAATGACTGCTGGGGAGTTTAAACCGGTTAATGGTGCACCAAACCTCGCTCTTAGCCCCACCATGTTCCTATCAACGAGACAGTGTAAATAAAATTAATCCCCGCCAAGTGAAATTCTAACAGTTGTCATGGTTACAAAAGGTAACGTATCAATTAACGTATCAATATGTAAAATTTGAGTTGAATGTGTAATACTGTTGGGGAGATAATGAACGGAAACTGAAAATTTCATATTGTTTTCAAAGTGAAATGGGCACAACTCTGCCAAAAATAATGAAACCATAACCAAATTCGAACTTGACCTGCGCATTCCTTTGACATATCCAGATGTCAAGTTTGAGTTGAATGTGTAATACCGTTGGGGAGATAATGAACGGTAACTGAAAATTTCATATTATTTTCAAAGTAAAAGGGACATAACTCTGCCAAAAATTATCCAACAATGACCAAATTCAAACTTGACATGCGCATGCCTTTGACATATCCATAAGTTAAGTTTGAGTTGAATGTGTAATACCGTTGGGGAGATAATGAACGGAAACTGAAAATTTTATATTATTTTCAAAGTAAAAGTGGCATAACTCTGCCAAAAATCATCAAACCATGACCAAATTCGAACTTGACCTGTATTATCTCATGACATATCCATTTGTCAAGTTTGAGTTGAATGTGTAATACTGTTGGGGAGATAATGAACGGAAACTATAAAATTTCATATTATTTTCAAAGTAAAAGGGTCATAACTCTGCCAAAAATAACAACCGTTACTAAGATAATGAACGGAAACTGATAATGACGGAATGATAGAATGACGGAACAGGGTAACACTATATGCCTCAGCCATTATATGTCGGGGGCATAAAAATCTAACCTCATTTTATTGCAAATTAAACTAAAATGCATATAAATGTATACTGTACCTATCTCACAGTTGATACCACGCCATCTTTCAGTACAATTACAGGTGTAGGACCTGTCACCATCAACGCATATGCCATTATTCAAACAGGGATTTGATTGACATGGGTCGGTATCTTTATAAATATATATACAAATACGTATAGTTTAATTAAAAGTACGTTTGAAAAAGAGAAGAATCTTGATCTAGCCCTTTCACATTTAAGATATTATGCTCATAAGTTAATGATTGAAGAAGGAAGATAATGAAATATTGAAAGAAATTAACGATTTCATTTAAAATGAAATATAAATGTAGCGGAAAAAAATTACCATTTTTACTTCATTTTCCGTATTACATTGATCTACGAAGAGAATATTTACCAAAATAATACTGCTCTTGGCCAAATATACAAGTTTAAAATGTTAATGGATAGCTCGCAACAGAATGTTATATAGAAATTGCCTTAATTTATTCACTATACAAATCTAGCTAGATACACAACTGGAAGCTTATTCCAACTAATTTCAAACATTATATTGTATATTCTTAGCATTTATTTTATAACTATGATATAATATATGAAAAATTAATTTTCTCGTAATTAGATGTTTGTTGTTTTTGTTTATATGTGTATGTATGTTTGTGCTTTAATAAAATCTTGAAAATCTTGAAATCTTGTTTACAGCAGAATATGTACCAGATAGCCTAGACAGTATCGATCTACACTGTGTATAGACGGCGTTAAACGGGATAGAAAGTGCAAACTAATATGAAATGACAAAGTGTTTTTCTCTGACAAGACAACAATTGAGTTTCGCGAACATTTTAAATAACAAATGATATTGAATTTCCAAATATCATAGTTAATCATATGTCAAAAATTAAGTAATACACTTTTTAAAGATCCTGTAACACAAATTTTATGGTTTTAAATCATAAATATGATGCTCAAATTCAGATTTATCAATATTGTAGGTTCCAAAAAAAGCATTATTTATAAAAAATATTACCGAATTTAACATTTCATGTAAATATAGGGAGGTAATTAAAATCCTATAAAGTTTAAGTCAAATTTTCCAATATGAAATGAATGCATATATTTTAATGATAATATGTAGTATGCACAAATATTTGCAGTACATATTTTACATATTCTTTGATGTTTGAAAATTGTTTTATTAGCATAATTATATACATATTTATATGCATCCCAAAGATAATATAAAATACACACTGGAGTTTTTCAAGTATTACATCCAACTCTTGATGTAGTTACAAGAATAGGAAAATAATTATCAGTTTCTAAATTTTTACATTTTTCCATGTTTTTTTGCATTGTAAATATATTGTACTTTATTCATAATCTATTTGACTTCGATTGTTTATGAAGCTATAAGTTTATAAAAGCTTTCCCGAATTCGTTCATGGAACCAGTCAGTACTGAGCAATGATTGTAAAAAGTGCAAATTACCGTTAAAGCCATCTAGCACCGGCTTAGGCAGAATGCATGGGTCCGACAAACATTCGTCCTAATAGTATGTCTTTTGTCAATAAATTTAAAAAGGTTGTTCACTGCATAACAAATCAAGAGTGCACATTTTTTACATATGTGTTCGATTAATTGTGATACAAGTATCCCAATCATAAAAATAAACAGTGGTCATGACGTGCTGGTGATATTGATGTTGTTTTGATAGATTTTATTAACGTTGTACGTTTAAGAAACTTATTTAAATAGAAAGACCATCAATATTCAAAATTAAAGGAAATCAAATTTAAATTGAAATAATATAAATTGAAATAAAATGCATATAAATGTATACTGTACCTATTTCACAGTTGATACCACTCCATCTTTCAGTACAATTACAAGTATAGGACCTGTCACCATCAACGCATGTGCCATTATTCAAACAGGGATTTGATTGACATTGGTCCGTATCTTTGTACATGAAATCAAAAATCATTTTAGCCACATTTACAATTGAATAGAAAGATTAGTACAAACAAGTTTTACTATATTTATATAATCATGTAAACAATCAACCTAATAAATAATCAACATTTTGTAAAGCCTTAATCAAACATCTAATCAATCAATAACATTCATATTTTTACACACGGTTTATTAACACAATGCATTCATTACATTAACTTTTTCATAAATATATTATTTTGTTGCTAAATATGCACCACATGTTAAACGTATGTGACACACATGTTTTACATATGGTAGAAACATATGGTTTCTCAAGAAAAGTACCCCATATGTTTTACATATGGTGCAAACACATGTTTTTCATTTGTATACACATGAATAACATGTGTTTTTCATATGGTAGGAAACAGTGTTTCTCCAAGAAAAGGAAACTGTATGTTACATTTATGGTATAGACTTTGTTTTTCACATATGGATTCACATGAATCATGTTTTTCATTACAAATGGTAAATTGTGTTCCAGAGTTTGGTTTGCTGGAACTTGATAATTCATAAGAATTTAACAAATGTTAATTGTTCAACACTACACGTAAGTGAAAATATATATATGTATATAATTATGCTTGTAAAACAATTTTCAAACATTGTAGAATATGTAAAATATGTATTGCAAATATTTGTACATATAAAATGTAATTATTAAAATATATGCATTCATTTCTTATTGAAAAATTTGACTCAGACTTTATAGAAAATAAACTTTTTATTACCTCCCTTTATTTACATGAAATGTAAAAATCGGTATCGTTTTGGAACTTATTAAATTGATAAATCTTCATTTGAGCATCATATTTATGATATGATGGTCACTCCCTACGGGTCACTTCAATTTGGGTTCTTCATTGTTAAAATTTCACTAAATAAACACTCATATATACAAAGGAAGAAAAATTCATGAATAAAAATAAATGGCAGACTATTCTCCCCATAACCATAAGTTGCACATATATGCATGAACCAAGAATCTTTTAAGAATTTATGTACAATCATTTAGAATCTAATAGAGACTGTAAAAAGTGTAAAGCTTGCAGAATATATGATACATAGATTTATCATATGAAAAACACATGAAAGTTCACATATATTTAACATATGAAAACTTATTCATATGAAAAACATGTGATAACCATGAGTTTAACATATGTTTGTTGACACATGTTTTTCATATGGTCCTGTTTACATATGTTAATCTTACATATGAAAAACACATGTTCTTAAACACATGTTTTTCAAAACACATGAAACACAGATGTTTTACATATGGTAAACATATGGGGTACCAAACATACAGCAAACATGTGGTGCATATTTACCTGTGTAGGCTGTAGAAGAAATATTGGTAAAGAATGTCGTTTAAAGTAAATATAGATAAAAGATTGACAGAGGCAAAAATATCAGACAACAAACAAGTATTGCCACCGAATATGCTGAACTAGAGAGAGTTGCCCTTCTTGTTTTACTTAAGATAAGCATTGAAAAGCTTTTTGTTATAACTGCTAAGAATCCAATTTCTTTTTCGTATAAACTTATGATGATGACATATAATAACAATCAGTTTGTTAATAAATGGACTAACGATGTTAAATGTCTTTTACAAGACTTAGGGTTTTCTTATTTATTCGATAAGCCTCATTCTATTTTTCTTAAAGCTGTTATCCAACGTATATATGATCAATATTTACAACAATGGTTTTCTGAACTCGATACGTATAGTTTAATTAAAAGTACGTTTGAAAAAGAGAAGAATCTTGATCTAGCCCTTTCACGTTTAAGATGTTCTGCTCATAAGTTAATGATTGAAGAAGGAAGATGAAGAAATATTGAAAGAAATCAACGATTTCATTTAAAATGAAATATGAATGTACTGGAAAATGTATATCATTTTTACTTCCTTTCCCGTATAACATTGATCTACGAAGAGAACATTTACCAAAATACTACTGCTCTTGGCCAAATATACAAGTTTAAAATGTTAATGGATAGCTCGCAACAGAATGTTTTATAGAAATTGTCTTAATTTATTTACTATGCAAATCTAGCTAGATAAACAACTGGAAGCTTATTCCAACTAATTTCAAACATTATTTGTATATTCTTAGCATTTATTTTATAACCATCATATTGTATATGTAATATTGATTTTCTCGTAATTAGATGTTTGATGTATTTGTTTATATGTTTATGTATGTATGTACGCCATTATTGTTTATGGCAAAAAACATTATGTTTGTGCTTTAATAAAAACTTGAAAATCTTGAAATCTTGTTTACAGCAGAATATGTACCAGACAGCCTAGACAGTATTGATCTACACTGTGTATAGACGGCGTTATAGACGGGATAGAAAGTGCAAACTCATATGAAATGACAAAGTGTTTCTCTCTGACAAGACAACAATTTAGTTTCGGGAAAATTTCAAATACAAATGATATTGAATTTTCAAATATCATAGTAAATCATATGTCACAAATTTAGTAATACACATTTAAAGATGGTTTTAAATCATAAATATGATGATCAAATTAAGATTTTTCAATATTGTAGGTTCCAAAAGGCATTATTTATAGAAATATTACTGAATTTAAAATTTCATGTAAATAAAGGAAGGTAATTAGAAATTGATGTTCAATAAATTTTTTTTGTCAAATTTTCATATAAGAAATGAATGCATATATTTTAATGATTACATATAATATGCACAAATATTTGCAGTACATTTTTTACATATTCTTTGATGTTAGCATAATATATACACACACATTATATATATATATAATTTTACCTAATGTGGTTAACCACTTTAATCTCAACATACAGGATCTTTAAAATTACTCTACCTAATCAAACTTGTTGAGAGAACATACCTTTGCACTTAACAGTAAGTTTAGGATATCTAAATCCATCCGTTGTAAAAATACAATCCGTAAAACTATAGCAAACAAAATTCGTCCTCCAGGTATGCTTTAAATAATCCGTAACAAAAGAATCCAATATTTTGGAATCATCCCTGTATAATATATAATAATACAGATTAAAGTAAAGTGACATACAGAATAGCTAAATACTATAAATTTACACGTTTGTTCAATGTGTTTATTAGATCTGCTGATTAACAATTCATTAATGCTATATTATCTTCATGTAAATACTTACACATATCCTAGGAATTGACAAACACCAGTTTCAAATTCAGACGTATCTATATGGTCTGGCATCAAAATTGATCCCCAACGACCACCAATTTGTAGCTCTACAACGCCTTCGTTTGAATTTAGTCCATTAACTAATCGCATTGATGTGATATTAAAATCTAAGAAATAATAAAACGGTTAAATGTGATTGACGTTTACTACGGATAATTACATTTTTTCGACAACATAAACAATAAAACATATCTTAGTACTTTGACCCCCCCGCCCACAAAAACTAAAAAAGAACAAACAATTACGCTAGAATATTATAAATTTAAAATGGATAAATGTGATCAGTGTTACAAATTTTCTAATATTTATTTACATGCCGTGTTTTTAACGTATAAATTTTATTATTAGCTTTCCTATATATCATGTATATCAAAACAATTGTAACATTTGTGTGTATATTTCATTAATTTTGAGTATAAACAATCGTTTTGCTTTTGTGGATTGTTAGCTGAATGTTATTATTTGTTTGATAACAATAATAAAATTGAAAACATTTTTCATAAAGATGATATCATAGATTGTTTAAGGTTTCTTTATTTCTGAAAAAGAGCCCTTTCTAATAACCTAGCTTTAGTTCATAAAAATGTTCATAAAAATGTCCATAACTCGTTAACCATACGGTAAACTTTGTTGTCTGTATGTTTGCATACATGTGTCCATCAAGGCATATAAGAAACCGATGTTTTAAATTTTACAGTTCCTTATAGTGCCCAATAGAGGGATTTTTTACCTTAATCACAACATAATAAGCAAATATAATTGAAATACATTAGTTTAAAGAAATACATTCTGGTCATTATCAAATAAAAACGAAAATTGATAACATTACAGACCAATTTATTGATAAAAATACGTGATTTGGCTGTTGACAATAGCGGCGTTTTCACATCAAAGTAACGCTGTTATTGTGTAGAACAATGCTGCAGAAGTATAGCTGATATATGTACTGTTCGTTAGTTTCGTGGAATTTTATCGTAGAAATGTAAGAAATAGATCTAGACCGATTTTTTTTTTTTCACAAGACACTTTCGCATCGGACTCGTTAATTTTCATTCAAATATATAAATACATAAAAAGTTACATTCATTTAATAAACACCAAGAAACATACATTTCCGTGCGTCAATGTCATTCATAAGTCAAGTGAGCATCGCACTTTCTCAACGCAATCGCGGTTAATGCTTACACATTTCTCATATAATCTGATGTCTATACACCCATATGTTGACCGTCGTAATGCAACACTCAAAGGACAATGTCCGAATAGCGTCGGTGGCGCGGCGAAACTGATATCGATATCCATAGGAGCAAGAATGGGAGAATATGGCAAATATTCTAACACTTCAAATTCCAGACTTATGTCAAGTATGATAAATGCAGCGCGATGAGCGGGAGCATATCGTTGTGGAACACAGTATCGCGCTGATCAACCCCCGACTTTTGAACGTCATTTTTCTATTCCGAAAATGATGCTTTTTTGCACTAAAATTGTAGGAAAATGGAGCCCGGCAACAAGCAAGACATGAGTTACTATGGTTACGAGAATTTATAGAGCGTTTATAGAGAATGTTCTTTGGTCTTTACACAATGTATACGTATTACGTTAATACAGAATAACGGTAAATATAAAGAGAAAATATTAGAAAAAATATAGTAACTGCAAAATTCCTCAAATTTATCGAAAAGCCCCCGTATATGTTAGCTAACAAAAAATCAACAAGATCTGAGATATTATTTTTCATTACAATTATTTTATATTTTGTTTCATTATAATATTTATTTTTTTAGAATAGAAAATAGTTTTTCGCCTGACATATAAATTAAATTATAGAGTTTCCGGAATATCAATGAAAAAATAAATGAATTCAATTATTATTAGACTTACCAAAACAATAAAGCCAGGTTCCAATATCAGTTTCACTCCGAACGTACGGTACAAATCTAAAGCTTGAAGGTTTTTCGCACTGCATGATGTCTGCTTCCGTACCATTGCACGACAAATATCCCGACCAAGCATTTTTGTTGATATATGCCTCCCCTAATAAGTGGTTCCCCGAACTAAAACCTACATTTCTAATGTAAAATTCGTTTTCTCTGATTACACAGAATCTATTACAGTAAAAAGTGTTGGTTTTTACCTTCATGTGTTTACTAAATATAGAGCGCTTACGAAACATCGGTAGTTCTATTCAGGTGCCTGTTCGTGCCGTTCGGTCTTCCTCCACCAGTAAAGCTGGAAAGTCGCAATATGACCTAAATTGTGTCAATGTGACGTAAAACCCAAATCAAACAAACAAACAAACTAAATATAGAGAAATGTGGACATTTTTAAGTTTGTCTAAAATATGATAAACAAGATCAACAAGGAAAGGCGGCGCTCAATGAACGCAACCCCCATATGACCAAGCAACAAGAACCAGTGGCAAGGAGCCCAGGCGGACCCGTCTAACGTCTAAATTCAGAGTAAAATTAAGAAATAATTATTTAACATGCATCATTGCATCATTTTATACGATTCCCACTATAATAAGATATTGTTTGTATGAACGTTAAATAATGATAAAAAACAGGTTATAAACGGCAACATTCAACAGGCCGAAGATCTATTCATAAATGCTCATGAAATACTTAACTAAATGCTTCTATTTGTTTTGATTTCAGGAGTAACCATTCATGTTTAAATAAAATAACAAACAAACAAACCGAAAACCAAACGTTTCGCAAAGAAATTGTGCAGTTACGTCATTGAATCCATATCTAGGTTCCCAAGAACTAAGATATCCCCAAGAACCGTTGTAAAATATCTCTACAGTACCTTCATCGTTATGCTCGTTCCATGTAGTCAATCTAACAGCTGAATAAGATTAAAACTTTTAAGGTTTTTGTATTTAACTAATCTTACAGTAAATTTGTCAATGCTAAAAAATCTGATTTTTTCCATAGTGGACATTATGTTTGTGCTGTCATATAATCGATCAAACACTAGATTTAACAATCACCAATCCTGTTTTTTTTTAAAGAATATTTGAAATGTCTTGTGTACAATGTATATTGTAAATTGAAACATGTATATATATTCTGAGAAATAAAAATGTTTAACCGGGCAGTTTATATTTAAAAAAAAAGAAATGATGACGGCGGTAAACTATTTTACGGAGGTTAGTTTGCTGCTTGACACCGTTTTTCAAATATATATAAGTCATACACAAAAATAATACAAATAAATTTCTACCACAAAAAAATAAAACCATGTCCATTCACTTGAAAAATATGCTTTCATGTTTTCTACGTCAGCAAATATAAAAGCGTAATTAAAGAAATGTTTCAGCAACTGTCCAAAATTTTTTTTTTATGTTTTCGAATGTGTTACTCACCTTTGCATGTTATATAAACAGCTCTTGTACAATTCTCGATGACAGCATTAGACATTGTGCACTCATTTAGAGAGCTCTCGTTTCCCGTGCATGTTAGTGTATTGTTAAATAATGGTATTGAGCCGGGATCACCTTCGGTAAAAGCTACCAAACCGCTAATAACAATTAAATAATTGTTATAAGTTATATATCTATTTCCGTCTCTACTTGTTTTGTTTATTTCATTCTCTATACTGTATGTATGAAATAACAAATTCATCAAAATTATTAAAAAAAAAGAAAGATAAAAGGCAAACTTTTATAACATATTTGCAGGCTTGGTTTGACTAAGCCCGTTTAAGGACGCTAGTGTTAATTAAATGCAAGGTAACATTCATCATGCCCCTTTTTAAAAGGTTAAGCTGGCTGAACATGCAGATGATTATGCTATATCTATAGAACAGTGATAATGGATCAAGATTTTGCTGCATAAACAAATATTTTAACCTAAATGTTAATGTTTTTTAGTTTAAGAATGTAATTACTTGTCTTATTTTCATATGAATATGAAGTATTTCTTTACACTTGTTTACAAAAATAGAAGGTAGAACACTATATCTACTTACTTATATCGTAAATGCTTACACACCACGTCTCCTGCACTGCTGTCAAAACCTTGGTAACACATTGAATGTTCTGTGCCGGAAAACGCCGCTAGAAGCATGCCTGTATTTGGTGACAGTCCTCCCATCAGTCTGTAATCTATTTAGAGAAAAGTGGAAACAGCGAAGATCATCCATAACGACCAAGATGGAAACTTCGCTGCCTGGTTCATTATGTCAATTTATAGTTGGTATGCATGCTAATATACTCGCTACCGCAAGGATCCCTAAGCTCCAAATGAATAAAATTCTAAACATTAAAATACAAATTTGTGTAAATTAGAGCAGATATGTCCATACGTTCCAAAGTTAGAACATAATGCGTGTTTACTTAAAAAAAGCAAGAACATTGATTAATTAAGTGCTTCATATTTATGTTGGGATATTGAAATTCAATAATGTCAAAATTGATTTAAAGAATATTATCTCGAACACAAATATTATCTCTTGGTGATTGACCTACAAAGATCAGAATGATAACATCTCTGATTAATAAATATTCTTAACATGATATTAGAATCACAGATAAACAACGAAATTTCTCTAAGGTGTAGATACGGATTAATAGAAGTCAACAATGCATTGAAAATGATATCATCCATCTTAGATATAGATTCAGACATAAGCATTCTTGAATCATAGAACAAAGGCAGAAATTGGTTGAAATAATTAGAAACAAAAGGGGAGTCGTAGTTAAGATATTTAAGCTTCCAAAAATGTCCCCTGAGTGCAATATAATGAAGACCGGATACATCAACTAATTATAAAGATTATAAAAAGAAAAGATCATTATATCTATTCTATTATACAGATAGATAAACTCTCAAACCACCTGCTGGACCGGGTTGTTCAAAACATTGATTAAGGTAGAACATCCCTAATGGGCACTATAAGGAACTGTAAAATTGACAACATAGGACAGTTATATGCCTTAAATGTCACCCGTATGCAAAATTTAAACAAAATTTACCGTGCTGTTTATGAGTAATGAACATTTTTAAACTAAAACTTTGCCATTAGAAGGGATTTTTTTCAGAAATGAGGAAACTCTAGATAATCTATAATGTCATCATTATAAAAAAATGTTTTCCTATTGCTAATTGTTAGGAAACAAATAATGACGAAATGTTTTAATATGTATAAAATGTAACCCTACCCCACCCACTTTAAACACTAATTTGACCATTTCCTTATGTAAAAAGCCTTATTCATAAATTATCCCTAAAATTTTCCACAATGAGGGGTGTTTTCAAAGTTGCCTAAAGTTTTTTTTAAATGTATCTGTTGGTCTAAAATATAAATATGAAATACTTTTACCGTGCATTTTTTATTTTATTTAACTTTGAAAATATCTGGTATCATATTTGCCATTAAATTTGGCATTATTTAGCAAATAAATACCTACAGTAATTATATAATTAAAATGAAACGCTTTTTTCTTCCATTAGGGATCTATGAGATTCATGAAAAATGTTAAAAAAGAAACAAAAAAGAAAGAAAAAAGTTGCCCCTTGGGTTTAAACCCACGACCCTCAGTTTCAATACACTTGACAGTGATTGTAGCCTATTTGAATACTCTTCAAAGTGGAGGTAGTGCATTAGAGGTAGACAACTTAGGGGGCAGGGGACCTAAAAATGGAAAATTTTGTATTTCAGTGTGACCAGAAACACAATTCCAAATATTTCAAAATCTGTTTCACAGGCAGATAACCAGTTGCACAGCATTATTCAATGATAAATGACATACATTGAAGAAAATAATAGTTTGCATGCATTGCTCCTTCAAAAAATGACTGACGGCAATTTATATTTACCCCCACCCAGCCAAAATCACACCTAAAATATACCAATATAGGCAATCTTCATGAAGATGCAGCATACTCCAGAATCCGCCCGATTCCTTAAAAAATATCAGTAACACGCAGTGCAAGCTATGGCATTTTCAGAAATGATAAATAAAGTGTCTGTCATACGTTTAGATTTTTCACAAAATTTATCTGAAATTTCTTACTTGTTTGGCGCCAACTGTCAAAGCTTGATTTTTAACTTTTTCACCTCCATTCGGAGAGTCAGAAATACATACAAAGCTACCAAAATGCTTAGTTTCGGGTAAAAACCCAAAAATATATCTCATTTCCTACACACAAACAAGAAAGAATTACAATGACTGAGAAATATCAGAAGTTATCAGTACCTTTAAAACACCATGTCTGAGTTATTAAAAAATTTGACCGGGGCCATCATTCGAATATGTCCCCTGCCCCCTTATCCACTAACTAGCGACCAGCTGGTCAGGGTATTGCATTGTAACATAGCCAGCGATTGGCTGAAAAAAACCGTATGAGTCAATTTATATGAGGTGATTGGATGAAAGTAGGGTATTTTTAAGTAAAAAATACTAATTTAAAAATCAGCAGAAAATTTCAATGAAATCGGGGTAATCCTCTTTGAAGTCATTTTGCGAAAAATTTGGTTGGCTACCCCTATATAACAGGAACATTTTTATGTGTCAGGCATTTCATTCTGCTAGAAAAATTTGCTCTTTAGCATGAAAATTAATTTTAAGGTAGGATTAGGGACCATTTCTTATAATGTAAGTCTATGGAAATATCAATGTGAGTGTCTGACCAGCTATCCATTGGATAAAAACATAACCAGAGGATTGCGTATTTATTAACTGGTAAAATGCAACAATGAAACATGGCCGGTTAGCGATTCTTAATATAAATTGGCCGATTTATTGTTTAAGAATCAGGAAGTTTCAAAATAATTAATTTTTCATGTTTCATGCTTTCAAATTTTTGGAATTAAACAAAAGAGAGATTATATTCAAAATAAATATAAGTACTGACACTTATGTTGTAGACTTTCTTTTTCTTTTAACTTATGTTTCATAGACTGAAATCTTTATACCACACTGAAACAGTGTTTGAATTTATTTCACCCTTTGTATTATGTTTTTTACTACTAAGTATCTGTTATAACTATTTGTCATAACAATTACTTAGTAATATTAGAAAATAGAACTAAACACAAGAAACGTTTAACAGTTTAATATGATGCCTAACTTTCATGATTTATTAACAAACATCAATTTTACTATGCTCAATATAAAACTCTTTTTTTTATTTTTAAATGTAACCACAGAAACTAAATAATTTTAAATATCCAAAATATAGCACTTTAATTTTAATCCAAAAGTAGTTTCAAGAAGACCTTACACACTAAGAACCTAAAGAATTTTCTGACTTGTATGCTAAATCATCTAACCTTATATACTAATAAAAGGCGGGAAAATAAACAAGAAAAGCATATAAAGCATGCGGCGGGAAAAATAGAAATGAGTTTACAATGAAATAATACATTTTAAGGAGTTTTCTTATTACTTTAACAAAATCAGGAGCATATTCAAATGTAAAGTAGTTCAATTTAACTTTGCTATAAAAGATTATGAAATTGCAAATTATCAAATAAATCAAAACATGTATAACTTTTTAACTATAAGTTTGCGACGACTTATATGTTTCATTGTCAAAGAAAGTTATGCCTGTAGAAATGAATTTTCGGAGAAACAACAAGAAATTCAATTGAAAAAGGGTACCAAAAAGAAATGTTTCAATTTAATCATATGCATTTCATAGGAATTTTCTAGTTTAGAAACAATAAACATATTTGTAAGAAAAAACTAATGTCAAAACAGTTTTTATGAGTTTTACTTTTATAATGATGATGGCTAACCAATGGTTAAGGGCATTTTTCGATGGCCATAGACTGGTTAAAGTTAACCACTGGATAACGCATTTTATCCGTAAGATAACTTTTAAGCAACAGATTTATCCAAAAGACAAATTTTAGCCAGTGGATAATGTTTTTATCCGTTGGTTATCACTTATCAATGTTGAACAACCCGGTCCAGATAGCATACTAAACTTACTTTTTAACTCGTATGCGAGGAACGTTGCGAAATGAAAAACATCCTTTAACCAGCGTAGAGGAATATAGTGCAATTCTTTTTCATTTAAAAATTGGGGACAATCGTTCTTTCAAACTTCAATCCGAAAGCAGATACTGTTTTGCCATATAAATAATTTCATTGCACAGACAACAACACGACAAATACTAGTACGCAGACCAATTTAGTAAAATTGTATTTACTTACCTACACAATATAGCTTGCTGCCATAATCTTGAAGCGATGTACCTTCATCTTTTATAAATTGGGTACGTCTAAAGTCGTCAGTTTTGACACATTCATCAATACTTTGTTCATTTCCATTGCATTCTAATTTTTGCAACCAAAAATGACTGAACGTGTTTCCGTATTGGTAAATATTGCGGGCACCATATCCAAACATACTACATATTATAAATTTAAAAAAAAAACACACAAAAAAAAGCATTAGCCATGTAAGTATATATTTTTGTTTTTGTTTCCAGGTAGTTTCTTTTTCCTTATCATCTTAAAGAAGTGATTTTAACCAAATTGGTCTTTCTAATAAGTATTTGTCTCTACAACATTATACGTACACGATCATTTAAACAAATATTCGTCTTTTTTGTCTTTATAAATTATCTCGCTTTAATGAATTTTTCGCCGACAATATTTCTAAACCTTAAAGTTGGGAGGAAAGGGGACTTAACCACAACAAACAAATAATATTAAAGGTGGTTTTGTTAAAATTGTTATGTTTAAATTCCTAAAACATTGTCAGAAGAAAAGATAATGTGAGATTTTATAACATTTTCGGTTGATCACCTACCTACATGTTATATTCAACGTTACATGTAGAAAAACGATGTTGCCGAAAATGCCTACTCGTAAATATAACTGCTGTGTTTATATATTAAAGGAAGTTTGAATAATGTATATAATATTTACGTATTGCTTCAAATCAATAGTTGTGCAGATTACAACAACATACCTTAACTTGAATTTTCTACATAAAAGTGAAGCTGTGTCGTCAGAAAATCGAAATTCTGGGTTTCCTATTAATCCCCACGAACCATCGTAAAATATTTCTACAAAACCCTCTGGGTCTTGTGAAGTGGGTTTCGACAGTCGAAATTCATAGCCTAAATTATAAAATCAGCTTAAATAGATGTCTTTAACGATTGATATCGTTAATATTTAAGTTCAAATAATTAGATATGTAACCCGCTGATTCTTATACATTGTTGAGTACAAAATTGAATATTCATTGTTGAGTACAATATTGAATATTCATTGTTGAGTACAATATTGAAATCAATTAAACGATAACAAAGCAGTAAATTTTTTAACAGAACTTTGTTACTTTGGACTCAAAGCTGTTTGGCGTACAATATAGATTTGATGTGGCTTATCTGACTCTGGAAATGAAAAAGAAGCTGAACTATGATTGGATCTAATAATGCTTTCTACTGGAACATCACATGGTGTAAATACTGGAACATCACATGGTGTAAATACTGGAAGTTTATTGGTTACATTCTATGAGATAAAAAAAAAATACCTTCTACAGATTCAGCATGCAAAAGTAAAAATGCCACAAGAAACATCATTTTCATGATTTCCGCCATCTTATCTAGATCTGAGGAAAAGTCATCTAATCTAGATCTGAGGAAAAGGAGATTAAAAATATAATTTTAGTTCAGTATTTAAACAAGTATATATGTGAATGAAATCTTAAACAGTAAGGAAAATATTACATCATACTAATATACAATCGTCATATAGTAATATTTGCATCGATAAAGTTTAGCTTGATATGATGTTTATGAAACGTTCTCTTAAATCATTATAAAGTGTTCAAAAGAAAAAGAAATGGTATGTAGTTATAGAAAGATAACAACAACAATAGAGTTATTATTGAGTAATGTTTCCTAGTAAGAAATATACATTTAACGCGAAGCCGTGTATGTAGAACTTGCAGTTTCCTAGTCCTAATGTATGAATAAGTTTTAATTACACTTTGAGTTTGCATTTGAAAGATGATAGTCAAGCACACTCTCTTTGTGTTTGATGATTGTTTGAATTGGACCCTTTAATCGAGAGCAACAAACGTTTGTGTAACGTCATAGCTATTTAGTCTGAGAGCAGACATGCTAAGTGACTTTAGGTCCATGTTCAGATATAGTTATTGGGACATTATGCAGACATATTGAGGGCTATGGTGACAATATGCAGACCAACAGTTTGCCTTTGGCTATTGTGCCCATATGTAGACATACATTTACGGAGGGCTATTGTGTCCATAATGTAGACATACATTTACTGAGGGCTATTGTGTCCATATGTAGACATACATTTACTGAGTGCTATTGTGTCCATAATGTAGACATACATTTACTGAGTGCTATTGTCTCTATATGTAGACAAATTGAGAGCTGTTGTGCCCATATGTAGACATACATTTACTGAGGGCTATTGTGTCCATAATGTAGACATACATTTACTGAGTGCTATTGTCTCTATATGTAGACAAATTGAGAGCTGTTGTGTCCATAATGTAGACATACATTTACTGAGTGCTATTGTGTCCATAATGTAGACATACATTTACTGAAGGCTATTGTGTCCATAATGTAGATAACATTTACTGAGGGTTATTGTGTCCATATGTAGACAAAGTGAGAGATATGGTGTCCATATGTAGACATACAGAAAAAACATACTAGGTTCTGTTTGACGTGTATGCAGATATACTGAGATTTGGTCTGCAATCAAAAATACTCTTGAGAGCTGTTTGGTTTGCATGGAAACAGTTGTTGTTTTTTTATCTGTATGCAAACTTACTTTAGACTAATAACAATGATCTATCACATATATCAGACTACTTGAGAAGCCCATATTCAAATATACTGAGTGGTAACTGCTAAAAGTTGTCTTATCAAAAACTACCCTGACTATATGATAAAAAATATTGCTTATTTATACGTTTAAAATGCAAATGCTTGTATTGATATAAAACTGCCAAATTTATTAAAATGTATGAAGTGCCTAATTTATACAAAATAGATTGATATTTTGTAGGCAAAAATAAGCATAGATCATAATGCGAACGCCTATATAGCGTCAGATTCATTATATATCAAAAGAAAATGTGTTTCTTGCTCACTCAAGTGATCATTTGATGTTTAATAAAACAGATGACTTTATTGTACAAGGCAACTGTTTAATGCAAAAAAGAATATATCTTTAAAACTAATGATAACATACAAACATTTGGTACATCTGTGTAACAGTTTCATGATAACCGTTTATATATATGGCCATATAACCTGTCAACAATCTTTATAACGAATTTATAATACAGCAAACATCATTTTTTAGACAAAAAAATAAAGATTTCTTCATGAAACGACAACAGCCGTGTATATAAAACTATATAAACGTCACGACTATCCAATGAAAAGCGACGTTACAAACGTGCAGTATTATAAATAAACACTTAATTTGTTACCAAAATAACATTCGAAAAAAAGTTTAAATGATTACAACAGCGAATTAGGATTATTTTTTGTTAATATTTTACCTACCGTCAGGACACCGACTAGAACCTGACGTTAGTACGACATCAAAAAGAAACGTCTAATAGACATCGGTTTTTGGACGTCAGATTTACGTCGTATTTTGGTCGCCGATGTCGTGACCAAAATCTAACGTTAATCCGACGTTATTTTAACGTCATGTGTTTGCTGGGAATGCATCATGGCATCCTGTTTTCCTTGTGTTATGCCACTTATTTAAATTTGAACACGCTACAGGACATATAACCTATATGTTACCTTGATTTTTAGTTATTTTGATCTTACTATCAAACAATTTGATCCCCTGATTGACATAACTATGAACGTTCTGTATATAATCTTTTTTTTATTTCATGCTTTCCAGTGTTTTATTACTGCACTTTTCGTCTTGAATTGTCAAATTCAAAAGTTCACGATAATTTCAATCAAACAAAAGTCAAATCTTCAATCAAACACAAGCTACACAAACATGCGTCTTATTTTTTAAACGAAACAATTTGTTCACTTGTTAAATAATAATCCGGCAAAATAAAGCAAACATTTACAAGTTCTCAAAGAAAATCGTCAAGTCTGTTTGTTATGTTTACATGTATAGTATGACGTGAACATTGATGATGTCATTTGCAATATAAATTATGACGTCACTCATTTAGTTGGTGTTAAAACTATTCGCTGTCTAATTTATTCGTAATTGAAATCGAAATAATAAATAAATAAATATCGCATCTTGATTCAAGACTTGTAAAGGTATGAGACTACATTGTAAAATTCACATGTTGATGAAAATGAGAATATAAGCAATTGAAAAAAGTCCGTTAAAAATGGGCGTGGCTTATTTTTGATATCAATACCATATTGACGGAGTCGCAAAATCGGCACGGGTGTGTGATAAATCATGTTTAAAAACGTAACAAAGTTAGAGGAATTTAACAGAACTATATTTCAAAATTGATGATGTGACGTCATAATGTGATGACGTCAAAAAAGGAGAACGCGCGACGTTACGCGGCAAATTCAGTAAAGAATAGATAAAATCACTTAAAAAGCATGAAATAAAAAGAAAATTGATTTGTTTTACATATAAGATTGAAATATATTTCATTCATGAACACCAGAATGACTACGCCACTCGTGAAAATATTGCATCTGGTGTCTACTCAGTGAAATTATATTTCAATCTTACATGCAAAACAAACAAATATCCTCTATATAATAGCATGCAAATATATAATAAAAACAATGTAGAATTAAAATACTTATAACATATTTCGTCATATTCACTTACGATATTTAAGAACTCGCTTTAGTGAACGCTCATCAATTAACAGATATAGTGGCAATTATCCAAGATTTTATTAAACATGATTGATTTCGGATTGCTTATAAATGGATACTTTGACAAGCTACATGTTTCTTTACATCTGTGGTACAATATTCTGCCGACACTCATATAGATGGAACAGAAAACAAAAGCGCATCATATCAAAATCATCAAAAATGCTTTGTGTGTCGATGGTGAACAAAATGTTTACATGTTACGTATAGCAAGTGTGTAAGATGTGATGTCTGAAGGAAACGTCTCAAAAGTAAACCAATTAAAAGAGGTAACTAAACAAATTCCTCGCATATACAGGAAGGTTAAAAGAATCTTTACGTTCAAATTCCTGAAGCTATATCAACAATATTCTGCTCCTAAAGTTCATCTTAAAAAATGTTTGGTACAGTGTAACTGCAAAAACAACAACAACAACAACACTTAAATTCAGGGACCTTATCATAACCCATAAAAATGTCATATCTATTATATATAGCATTAGCTTCATGTTGGGTTATTCATGATTCAATGTAGACATTGGAATTATATCAAAATAGCGGCGAGAGCGCCTGACTTGACAACTAGATAACGTGACGCAATTAATAAGCAGTGATTGTATACTAAAAACACCTTAATAGCACATGGGCGGGGAATCAAAACTGTGTCGTATCCTACAAAATGTAAACAAACGCCGCCATCTTAGAAAAAAGGTATGTTTTGTTTATAATTCTTTTTGTTGAAAATGAATGAAAACCAAATATATGTATTAACACGCTCCACTATTTTCCGCTTCGTTCTGTTAATGTTGCTTGCACAACTATTTTGTATAACAAAAGTTTTAGCGAACTTGCAACTCGAAGCAGAGCAGAATTTTTATGAAATTTTGTGGATGTGACGCAGTTCATATTGCTTTATACATCCTTTTTCCCCAAACAAAAAAATACATCAACAAATTATATCAAAATTGTGAATAAATCTGAAATAAAATATGTTTTCCTGATTTGTTAATACAATGAAATTTTGTTCATGATTCATTAAATGAATCATAGATAAATTGTGCTTTTACTAGAAAGTAAAGACCTCATTTATTATAGATTAATTACAAAAGTCAGATTTATTAACCATTGATTACAAACATGAAATATATTCAATACAATTTATTGCAAATTCATTACACTTGTACTGGAATATATATGCATGTATAATTTATTCATGATTTATTGGAAATCGAACTTTTCCCGACTGCATTTAATACCATTTATTACAAATTCATTACACTTTAAAGTTCTGAGATATTCACAAGTTGTTCATAATTCATTAAAACAGAGATTTTCCAGGATTAATTCAATACAATTCATAACATATTCATTGTACTTCAGATGTTCATAATTTGCTTATAGCAGAAATTTTCATTGATGTATGTACTTTTGTTTTACTGTTCATAACAACTAAACCCCCTCTCAACGCTCTATACAAATCATTTTTTTTTAAATTTTCCTTTACTCATTACCGTACTTGTTTTTAATCAGTCACTGGAAAAAATATATGTTTTTTTTTCAACCTTTTTTTCAAGTCTCTTATTTTAAACATCAACATATTATTAATTCCATGCGTAGCGCTAGATTTAATTTTGAGTGACCAAGATCAGTTTTTGTCTTTCTTATTGTTAATACGCAACATGCTATATAATTAATCTGAAAAACATATCCATACCCACGGCTTTTTTATGATTAGACCTATCCTTATCAGTAAAAAAAAACCTGTCGAATGGA